GTGCCGTTATTTGGCGATTTGTTGTCATTTCATCGATAACATATTTTTTCTGATCTTTATTAAGATTGACAAGTGTCAAAAGTTCCTTTTTCACCATATTTGTTTCAAAAGAAATGTTTTTTCCGGATAACCATTGAATTATATCGGCATTCCTCCAAGCAGTCGTAGGCGTCCGCTCGGTCTGCCGTGAATGGTAACTGGCATTATCCATGACAATTACAGACCCCGGAGGAATAAGATCCAACATCTGTGTAAAATACTCTTCGAAAACATATGCGTTCATGTATTCGTGATAGTCACCTGTATTTTTAGATTCAAATATAAGTAAACCGCCATCTACAAAACCACTGGCACTACCTATATGTGTCACTATTAATCTTCGCCCTTTACCTGAAGGTGCCTTGAACCCTGTTGAAAGTCCATCAAAAAATGCTTGTCGAAAACTTTTTACATTTTTATCTTGCCATAGTTTTGTTACAGTATATCCCTCGTTGACCCAAGTTTCGTCTAGATAATAAATATTCCTCCCGTCACGGAATTTTCTAATTGATCTTAAGTAGGATCTTCGCCAACAAATAATTTCATCTTTATCGATAAGAACTGACTTCCTGTTCTGCTTTTCCCAGCAAAAATTCAACTCTCGTAAGACGGCCCATAATTTGCTTCTACTGATTTTTGGCAAATCGTTGTCCTCTGAAAGTTCACTTAAAATTTTGTTTAGCGTTGGTATTTCCTTTTTAAAATAAAATGAGTGTACTTTTCTGCGAATGACATTTTTGAAAAATCATCTATAACGACTTTTGACCTCCCTGTAGATGATTTTGGGGGATTTACAGTATCTTGTTCATTTTTTGTTTCCTTTAAAAGTCTGTAGATAGTCGATTTTTCAATCCCTGTCATTTTTGTTAGCATTAGTGTTACCCGATAATTACCTGAAACGAAATATTACCACGCCCATGGCCGGTTCTTATCTCGGGGTTTTATTACTCTTTCATTTCCAAACAGAGTATATAGCTGTATTAATATTGTTTCTTACCCTTCGGTGAATTATTTGATTTTTCCGAACAAAAAAAATACATCTTTTCGTCTCAAGGTCATGGTCACCTCCAATCTTGTAAAGGTTCTATGATCAGGAATGAGGCGCTCTGGATACTTTCTCGATGTAACACTACAGCTCTTCTTGAATTTTTTTTGTGACTCGCCGTAAATTAGTAACAGATCAACTTTTTCTGAATGAGAAAACATTTTGTAAGCACAAAAGTTATACGTTTGACGTTTGTATTGAGTAATGCATAATATTAAATCTATGGAGTAATGATAAGTATTTTGTGACATTTATGCACTTTAAACAACAAACATTCAATTATTTTCCAACGACTACTTGATCCTTCCACCGCTAATGTGATTTTTAGGTAGTATTTATTTTGAGACTCTTTAGGACGATATTGCTTATAACTTTTAAACGGGAAGTAATACAGAAAAATGTAACTAATAAAAGTTTATTAGAAAGAAGAGAGCTTTTTAACAGGAAAAAAATTTGAGTATGCATATGGAAAAAATATAATTGATGACGTCAATTGAAAATTGAGCTTACCTCATCCCATGTAACACCACATGTCCAAATTTTATTTAAATTTTTTGTATGCTCACAGCAGGCCCATACTATCGAGTTTGAGACAAAGAAAACTTTAAAATGTGTTTCATAGTATTGTAATAAGAAGCTCAATTAATACATATTTTAAGACAAAATTTTAAACAAATATTTATTCACTGTATTTCCTTTTGCAAAATGAAGACCGATATTAAGAAGCTTGATTCTAGTCAACATTTTTTTCTCTTAAATATTCAGCTTCACAGTTTTTTGCATTACTATTAGTTAATAAAGTAATGTCAAGTCAGATCTATCTTACCTAACAATCTAAGTATCTGGAATTTTCTAAAACTTTTCCGTAAAGAATGGAATAAATATTCTGCATTATCTAAACTTACGATTGCATTACAGCAATTACCAGATATTCCGAGAAAATTGTAGTAGCATTACAGTAACTGTTCTTAAAGTTTAACTGTTATTTTCTTAAGATAGCTATAATTTTAACGGTAGGAAGAAACAATACAAGAAAAAATGTCTAGAACTGTGTATTCGAACTAATTACTTGCATTGTTAAATTTTGTTTAAACACACTAGATTTTTATCGATACTTAAAAGTTTTTAACAAATAACATTATAATAGCGGTTGTTGCTATAATTATTATCACTTACACTATCTACATAATGAAGTATGTTAAGTCTTACATCTGCTAATGCGATACTCTTAATTAAATTCTTTTATTCTCTCCAATCAGCGAGTCCTCTCATTTGGGATCAATAAAGATAAAAAAAACTGGTTATGCCGAGGGTTATGCATTTGGAACAGTCTTCTTGCATACCCAAAGCGCCTCAAAATCCGAAATATTTACCGTTTTATTTCTTTGTGTATAGTAAAATTTATTTATTACGATTCGTGTAGTGCCGACCTCATTCAAACCATTTATTAAATGTATACAGGATGTACCGATATCTGGAAACTTTATAAACAAAACTTGACCTGAAATACAATTTGCTAATAAAATTAGGTAAAATTACAATTTCGTTTTTTCAATTCAGTTGTAAGATTTAATTTTCCCTCGAATGTTTATAATATTCTCACAAGTAATAATACTTACTGTAACTTTTGTTTCAATGAACATTCCACAAGAAAGTATCACATTATGCTTTTGTTAAACAATAGAAACATTGTCTTAAATCATAATAGTGGTGGGTAAACTGTTCCCAAGTAATTAAAATTCATTACGCATTTCTTTTATTGCATGTCGGCAAAAGTATATTTATAAACAAAAGGTTTCAACTAGATTCAAGTTGTATGTTTTTCATCGTACAGTTAGTCCTCGATTACTTATCGGAAGGAACTATTTCGAACCACTTTTTCCCTTTTGTTATACACAGGGCGTCCCGTTAAAAATTTCTTGACCCGATATCACGAAAACAAAAAAAGGTTTCTGATATACAGGTTGTCGGGAAAGTCATGTCAAAAATGAAGGGGTATACAGAAGAGGTCAAAATAGTTGTAGTACTGTGTAGGTACACATGTTCGCAAGTGACCCATTATTAAGCATTACGTCAAGAGCGCCAGCAGGACGACACCAGACATACCAGCATTCCAGAAAGGGTCTACAGCGAACTACTGGCGCCGGCGACCAGATGCGTACTCATATACCTACGACCGATTCCACACACAGGGACTCTCCAACGAACACTCACCCCGTCAACACGTCTTTTTCTATACAACTTAGTTTTCAATAAAATACTTTATTATTGCCGTTGAGAGAGCGTTTTATTCTTGGTGTACAGCGAAAGCAACCCTCAACTGTCATATATTTTTTTTCCTATGGGGCTTCGTTGTGGAGTTATTCGCCTGCAAAGAAAGACGTTCGAAAGACAAATTTCAATTATAACTGCTAAGAAATTTGGGCGATTAAAGTAACTCATGATAATGTTCATTTTGAAGTTTAAACTGATGTTCAAAATGCCTGGATTATACAGGAGCAGACAAAATTATATATTTACCTATACATCTTTGACAGCGTTGCCAAATTTGACATTTTTCTTTAATAGTTCGATTCCTCTCTCACTTTGCTAAAAAATAAGTATACCGTATTTCAGTCGATATACAGGGTGTTTCAGTTCGAGTGAATCAAACTTTAACCACAAATAGAACTCAATAAATAATTCAGAATTACCTTATAAAGCGTGGGTCTAAGTCTCACCGTACAGGGCCGTATTGGTTGGTTTTTAAAATCATGTTATTTAGGAAATCTTTGCTATGCTTATAACGAATTGATTCAAATTTGGTGTGGTGCTAACATTTACACATGTGCATAACTTACTCTAAAATTTACAAATTTTTGTAGGTCAGTGGCGTAGGAATGAGTAGTAAAGCGGGATTTATTTACCCACCCCAACTTCTACACCAAGTAGTAGTAGTTAAAGTTTGATTCTCTCGAACTGAAACACCCTATATTACACCGTTTTTGAGAAAATCGAATTTTATTATCAGCATACATTTATTGTATAAAAATGTGATATATACTAACATTTTTATAAAAATCTAAATAATTTCAATTCTGAGTAAAAATGGCATTACTATTCACAGCGGTATACAAAGTGTCTGTTTTTTCAAATGAACACCCCCCTTAAATACAATAGGCTGGCTGAATCAAGAGTTGATTTTCTATTGCTATGGATGCCTGTCCTGTCATGGTTTTTTATATGGGTGCATTTTTCAAATAAAAAAAATATGTTAGGGATACTTCAATACCTACTTGTATCCTAAATCCTAAAAGAAGAAATGTTTCTGAAAAATACACCCATGAAAAAAGGGTGGTCAAGAATTTAAGGCCGAAACTCCAGCAAGTAATAGAACAAATTATTTCAAGTAAAAGGTCTCATATGAACGTTGGTCGTAGTTCGTTTAATTTTCGAGATACAGGTTATTGAAATAAAAAAAATGTCACGTTTTTTAAAAATGTCCCTGAGGATGTTTGGCGTAAACTAATGAAACTTTGAGTCATCTAACTTCCTCCTCCCAATCTAAAACCTGGTCCACCTTGTATTTAAGTGGATATTGACACGAAAAACCAGACACACTGTAGATGGCCCAAAACAATTTTTTGATGACAGGAACTTGGATCCCTTCCACGTGAAAAAACAAATTATTTTGCAATTTGGACATGGACCATTTTCTAACGTTCCTGCCATCGACATTTTTTTGGTTTGCAGCGCCATCTATACGCCTTCGAAGAGAAATTTCGTTTATGCTCAAAACTGAAAACATATGAACTACATAACACTTTTTATTTTTTTAGTTTACGAAATATTGTCCAGGAGAGTTTTTAGGACATTCAACTATGCCGCGTCAATTATTATTATCCCCAGTTTTAAATATTTTTTTTTGTTGTTGCAGTTGGAACTTCAAAAAACCAGGGAACTGCTGGAGAGAACCGCAACCGCCTTAAATGCAAAAACCGTATCATCCCCAGAAATAAATCTAGAACTGGAAAAAGCCTTGGAGCACCTAAAGGATTCCAAAGAAATAAACACGGCGTTACAACTGCAGTTAGATGCAGTGAACAAAACTCATCAACTGCTGAAAAGTTCTTACGACGATTTAGCGACATCTAACAAAAATCTAGAACGCCGTGTTGTGGAACTAGACTCCACCCTAGACAAATACAAGAACGAACTACTAAATCTCCAGAAAACAAAAGACAAACTTCTGGAAAACGAAGTGAGCTTGAACAAACTGTTAGAAATCGAAAAGTTGCAAAGCAAAAGTCTAAAATTGCAGAACGAAAAAGACGCGAAATGTATCCAGGATTTGAACAGGCAAATAAAAGAAATGGAACGGATTATAGCCAGAAAGCATCCAGACTCTGTCTCTGCCTTAATCGTAGCAGCGAAAGAAAACGCTACCGATTCGAATCTGACCGCCAGGAAGATCCTAGAGGATAGAATCAAGACCCTGGAACAAGAACAGCTGAACAGAGAGACCCAGTCCTCCAAAGTGTTCCTGGAGATACAAGAAAAGTTCAATCAGATGAAATCCAAGTACGAGAACCACATAGAAGACCTAGAATTGCACGTCAGTGACTTAAAAGCTCAGTTGAAAAGGAAAACTGACACTTACGATGTGTATACTCAAACGATTTTCGACGAGAAAATCCCTCAGAAGGAGACATTCACTGTGTTCACCCAAACCGACGCGATACCTACTAAACCACCGAAAATAGTGCCTGTTAACAAACCTCAACGGATCAACGAGAGCATCAAAGAAGACGCTCACCTTCTAGCCACCATCAGAGGCCTTCAGACAGATTTGGCTAACAAGGAGAAAGTAGTGACTAGGCTCCAAAAAGAGATCGAAGACCTGCGGAAGACCAACCGAAGGCTACAGAAGGAAAGGGAGGGTAGCTTGAGGAGCCTCAGCGACAAGAGGGAGTTCCGCAGCTACCCCGAGAAGCTGGCCTTGCAGAGCAGGTCGAGTAGCATCAGCTCCGAGAAGGATTTTCGGAAAGACGAGGAGCTGCAGCAGCTGAAGGCGGAGAGGGACAAACTGAAGCAGCAGCTGAGCAGGCTGGAGCAGGACTATCAGTCGCTGAAGACAAAACGAATACACGATGTGAGTAAAGTTTGGTTTCCGTGTTTTTTCGAATAGAGGGTGTGGTCAAGCGAATCAGTAGATTTTACTTCCTCGAGGCCTCAGTAGTAGTGTAGTTGGTGTTAGTCTTTTGGGCAATGTTGAACTCTAGCTTTGGAGGATTTTATGCTTGATGGTTTTAACCTTTGTAGATATAACTTTTATTTAATTGCAGCTGTTAGCAAATAAAGTTATGATCACTTTTCATATTTATCTGTCCATCAGTAACGTTCATATTTTCCCCGGAAACCCCTATTTTTTTTAACAGCACTGTAATAATAATTATTATGAAAATTTAGTATCCTCAGTTCCTTACGATCACTTCTTTCAGAGATACTAATATATTTTACAAATAATGCAAAATGTCAGTGCCAGTGCAATTAGCGTAAAACACATGTTTTGTAACTTTTGTTGTTTCTTAAATAAACTTATACAGGGTGTTTCAAAGAAACGTGCTATTGGTCGAGAAGATTTCTCATCTAAAAATAATACAAAAACTTCATTGGATATGTTCTTATTTCATTTCTAAAATACAAGCTGTCGATTTTTTATTTTTTGGTAATTAAAATAAATTTTGGATAATGATGGTCGTTTTTACCATTTTCTGTGATTGTAAATCATAATGGATTTCTCCTTTTTCTGAAAACGAATTGTTTTACTCAAATTGTCAAATGTGGCAGTCACAGAGACAGTGGCGTACATATTTTTACATTATTTCAGTGCCAATCTGTAAGCATGCCCCTGGTGAAGCTATTTACATACAGGGTGCGGCATTAGTGCGTCGAAGTACGATATCTCCTTTATTATAGAAGATATCAAAAAAAGTTATTTACAAAAATTGTAGCCAACTTAAAACTGCACATTTTAAAATTATTTTCGTATATACAGGATGTTACGTATTACCAGGCTGAACCAAACATACTAATTTTTAAATGGGACACACTATATATTATTTCAAATTTAGGTCATCTCTCCCATGCTTCCAATATAGGGTTTAATTATGTTATATAGGGTATTTCAAAAGTTATGGTCAATTGTATACGAGAGTCATTCTCATTTCAGCGTCCTGTATCTCCTAAATAGAACAACTTAACAATATTTTTTTGCAGGCATAACTAGAAAGTGCCATTTCTTTATTATTGCAACAGTTGAATATAGGGCAAGCCAAAACTCGAGCACATAATTTTCTCAATTTTTTTTAACGAATCACCCTGTATTTTATTTACAAAACTGAAAATACACTTTATGTTCTTTCATTTTTATAAAGCATTCCCTATACTCATTAATTTATGAGATTTACCATTTAATAACAAAGAGAGAATTTAAAAAAATCCTATTATAACAAGTTAGCTGTGGGTAAATGACAGTGTGACAAATTGTTATAAAACATTACAAAATATCTGTTGCTCAGACGAAACTCTTATAATATTAACCAACTTGTTTATAATATGAATTTTTTTAAAACTATTTTTGTTATTAAATGGTAAATATCTCAGAAATTAATGATTTTAGCTATAGGCAAAGCTTTATAAAAATGAAAGAACATAAGTGTATTGTCAGTTTTTTAAATAGGGTGATTCATTAAAAATTATATGCTTGAGTTTTGGCTCGCCCCATATTCAACTGCTGCAAGAATAAAGAAATAGCACTTTCTCGTAAAACTACCAATATCAAAAAGTTATGCATGTAAAAAATTATTATTAAGTTGTTCTGTTTATTGTATACAATTGAGCATAACTTTTGAAATACCCTGTATAACATAATTAAATCCTATATTGGAAGCATGGGAGAGATGAGCTTAATCTTAATTTGAAATAATATAAAGGGTGTCTCATTAAAAAAATAGTAGGGGTTCACCCTGGTAATGCGTAACACTCTGTATATAAGAAAATAATTTTAAAATGACAAGTTTTAAGTTGGATACAATTTTTGTAAATAACTTTTTTGATATCTTCTATAATAACGGAGATATCGACGCACTAATGTCGCACCCTGTATTTTTTATGAGAAATATCCCCAAAAACGACAGCACAGGTATTTTTTAAATACTGTATAGGTTATTATTTGCAGAAAAAGCACGTTTATTTTTATTTTAAAATCGACATATCATATTGGTAGTAGAAATATAAGGTTATCGATCGATCCTATTGAATAAGATAAATCTTTCAACGCTTGCCTTTAAATTGTTGAAGACTTATTGTTCACTGTGCATAAGGTAAATATAAACTCAACTTGTCATTGTTTGCTTTTTAATTTGCCTTTCTAGATCAACAGTTATAAATCATGGTAACTATATTGCATTGCAAATATTTAATTTACATAACTGAGTTTGTTTTTTTCTATTTTTTCCTGATAATCGAGCCTCTTACATGCTTGCTTGTATGTTCTGCTATCCTGTTACAAAGCTTTTTTTTTGTATTACCCGACTCCAAAGTAATTTCAAAGAGAGGCTTTCATAAAATGAATATAATTTATACAGGGTGATTCACAAACCGTGACCAAAAATGAAACCTCGTATTCCTTGGTTTAAAAAATTTTAAAGCCTGATTTTCGAGTAAAACTTAAAAAAACAACTGAAAACACTTACTTAAATGACCTGACAAGCACTAATCATTCGGTTATTTATTCGAATAAAGAAATTAATAACATTAGTCATCATTTTAGTGATTTTATTTGAGTAATCGCTCAAAAATACCTCAATTTTCACGCACACAGGCCCAAAATCTATTTGTAACGAAAGTGTAATTTATTCGAAATTTATTGTTGCTTGAATCTGATGAAAAGCATTATTTATTCTTTTTTGTAACTGCTCAGAATGTCAAAGTTGCTATGCTGTCTGCTATGTAACTTTAATCCGCATTTTATTGGAATATCGAAGTGTCGTTTTTAAGTTTTACTCGAAAATCAGGCATTTTTCGAAATCCATAAGAGAGTTGTAGAAAATTGAAAGACAAATTGCTGTCTAATTTGTTAAAAAGTCAAAGATGAAAAAGTTACACACGCAAAGTACCAAGGGCCCCCCCGTACCCACCCCAATGGACCTTGTGGAAATAAATGGATTAGTCCATCAAATTGCTCATCAAAATTTAGCTGTGTATACCAAGTTTCATTCATTTATCACAACGCGATTGAGAGATATTGCAAAAAAATGATTTCCATTCCTCCCTCTTCAATGGGTTCCTGTGCCCTTAGGAAGCATTTCCGGACCCATGTTCATATGAACTTTTTTACTTAGTTTTGATCATAGAATCGGCCTGTTCAGGGTTGGCAGCTAATTATGAGACACCCTGTATAGTGAAAAAAAATTACGACAGTTAACGTCGAAGAACTTTGGGAGACAATTGAAAACGCATGGGATAACATCACTGAGGATTATAACAGGAACATTAATTTTATCAATGTCATGTAGATTGCAGTGTTATAGACAAAAATGGTGCTTGGACAAAATACTAACTTTACGAATCGCCTTTTTTTTTTTGACGACGAAAAGTGTTTCATTTTTAGATCTCGTTGACGGCGAATGAATGGCTGTTAGAATATATAATATATTTCAGTATTGGAAAAATAAATAATTTGCTACCTAATTTGGATTTGTTTTGCTCACTAGAACTAATATGATAGACACATTAAATTTGACGTAATGATAGCCGATTTGAACCTCACATTTTCAAGTCAGCTTCACAAAGGCCAATTATAGACAATTTGCTTATAAGAGTCGTTCACTTTCAAAGGGCCGGCACTGTACACCTATTATTGGCAACAAATAGCACCTATAAAAAAAAAATCTACAAAAATTGTGATGCCTTAAAAAGCTAACATGTCCCCTATTGTCTAGAAAACTGAACATAACTTTTCTATTTATAACTTTTTCAAATATCTAACAGTTGCATATTGGAGAATATTAAAAAATCTTAGAAAAAAGTAGCCTTAAATCTCTGTGCCGTAGAAAGTTGTCCCATTATTTTTATTCGCAGAATCATCCCCTAACTTTTTTGCACTTATTTCCGGAATCTTTTGTGTTTACCATTTTTTTTATTCAACCATATAGAATCGTAAGAAAACCTTGAGTGCTTCACTTTTTGCCTCAAAAAGACAAATGCCCCAACTAACTTTTTATTTATTGTGTCGTAACTTTTAGGACAGCTTTCTGTTGAAATTTTCAGCTGACCGCCCTGCAGGAGGCGCACGAACGAGAAGTGTCGAATTACGTGGCAAGCGTGACGCCCCTCAGGGAGCAGCTCGAAGTGCAACAGGTGTCTATCGCCGCCCTGCAGTCGCAGCTCAACGCTGCCAAGCAGGAACTGGCCGTCGTCACCGTGGAGAGAGACCACCTGAACAACAGGCTGTTAAACGCGCCCTTCGACATCGCACGCCCGAACAGGGAGGGGGATAACGCCGTGGAAGTCGAGGCGCTTTTGAAAAAGGTAGGGGAATGAGTAGAAGTTTGTTTTCTTCCTATAGAGTGCGAGTCATAATTAGGTGTAAAAAATTTGAAAATTCTTGCCAAAACGAAACAATTGGTCAAATAAACCTTTCTTCCAAAATGCCTCCTTGTTGAAATTAATAAAAAAATGGTATTTCCTTAATATTTCCTTGACGGCTTCACAGATTGTTTTGTAATTTGGTATAGGAAATGTCACTGGCAATTGCTACTCCCCTGGGGTTACTCCAAAACGGTTCAATCTGTTAACATTATACAGGGTGTTTCTAAAATTGGGTTCCAAACTTCTGCTGCGTTTATAACTCATTAAAAGAAGCCAAAAAGTTCCTATTAACATATGCCCTAAAACGCACCCTTAGGAAGTTATATGCCCTTAAAAGGGCTCAAACAAAACTGTTTTTTTTCTGTTATTGACAGAATGGTCGCAAATAAATAGAAAAAAATGTATGGGTCTTACATAACTTTTTACGTTAAATAACATGGACTACTCCGCAAATTTAAGTATACAACATTATTGCAACTCATAAAATGGAGTCATATTCAAATACGGAAATGGCAGATATGCACTTTATGTACGGCCGTGCGGCTGGAGATGCATCAGAAGCGAGGCGTCTATATGCGGCAGCATACCCGAATACAAGTCTTCCTTCTCGACAGGTATTTCAGGGGATCCATCAACGTTTAAGAGAAAATGGTTCGTTCCAACCAAAAGTAAATGATCGTGGCAGAAACAGATTTGTAAGAACACCGGTGATGGAAGAAAATGTATTGATAGCTGTGCAGGACAATCCAAGGGTTAGTGTAAGAAGTGTCGCACGTATGCATAACATAAGTTTTTCCAAAGTTTGGCGAATTCTTTGCGAACAACTACTTCATCCTTTTCATATCCAGCGTGTTCAAGCTTTAAACCCGAATGACTACGAACCACGTCTGCAGTTCTGCCAATGGTTTTTGCGAAAATCGAGGCGGATTCCGAATTTTGCATCTCTTATTTTGTTTACGGATGAGGCAAGCTTCAGTAAAGATGGTTATGTCAATTTTCATAACGTTCATGAATGGGCTGATGAAAACCCACACAGCATATTTCAGTCCAGACATCAGATTCGGTTTTCCGTCAACGTTTGGGCAGGCATTTTAGGCGATCGGCTAATCGGACCGTTTGTGTTGCCTAATCGATTGAATGGTGAGGATTATTACAATATTTTAGTTAACGACTTGCCAGGACTTTTGAAAGATGTTCCTTTAATTGAACGCCAAAGCATATGGTTTATGCAGGACGGGGCGCCACCTCATTACCTACATAATGTTAGACAACACTTAAATGAGTTGTATGGAGAAAAATGGATAGGCCGAGGAGGTCCTGTTCCCTGGCCTCCACGTTCCCCTGACCTTAACCCCCTGGACTATTTTTTGTGGGGTCAACTTAAGGCAAAGGTTTATAAAATTCCAATTGAGACCATTCAGCAACTACGGGAGGAAATTGAAACCGCGTGCATGAAAATAAGGCAAACACCTAGAATTTTCCAAAGAGTTCGCAAATCATTGAAGCGTCGAACTAGATTATGCATCGAAATGCAAGGTGGTCACTTCGAGCAGTTCTTGTAATTTAACTTATTATTACTAATTTTAATGCCATTATTTTCTATTTCACATTTAGCTATTGTCTGCTGTAGTAATTAGTTCTTTAATTAGTAAGTGTAACTCTAAATTTAAATAGTCTTAGTTTATGTCCTAAATTATTTATTAAATGATCGGATCCTATAACTGCAATTTATTTGAAAAAAAAAAAACAGTTTTGTTTGAGCCCTTTTAAGGGCATATAACTTCCTAAGGGTGCGTTTTAGGGCACATGTTAATAGGAACATTTTGGCATATTTCAATGAATTATAAACGCAGCAGAAGTTTGGAACCCTATTTTAGAAACATCCTGTAGAAGAGTATCTTTTCACTGTAAAATTGTCTAAAATTTCTGATGTGTGGCTCTAGCAATTAAAAACCTCTCAAACGAAAAAATTGGGACAATACTTCCACAATTCCCCAGTCTAAAACGTTCAAATTATGTTTTAACCATTCACAACCTAACTGTACTATTTTGATTTCAATCTTATAGTTTCATATAAACTTTTTCTGTTGTTTTTAGTCAACTTAGACCCAGTACTTTAAGTCTCGGTTAAGACTTGATTAACTAGTCAGGCGATTAGACTGTATATTTTTATAAATTAAATCAGTATATGTCACAGATATGTACAGTATAATCATGCCATTACTTAACCAAGGCTTAACCTGGACTCAAAGTATCGGGCCTTATTTTTTTTTGTTTATTTTATACAAGTTTCCTACAGTTTCCATCTTCGAAGTGCATTGAGAAGTTTTCATCCCAACTTACAATTAGTGGAAAGGAAATATAATATGTATGAAGTATAATTATTTTCTGAATTGTATAATTCTTTTCAGTAATTATTTTATTTATATCGATATACAGTGTGTTTCTAAAATAAGTGCGTTCCTTGAAAAGGCTGGTAGAGGGCACGAAAATAAGCTACTTTTATTAAACAACCCTCTAAATACAAATACGGCGCCCATACTACTTAGCCCTCGTCTGACCGTGGTTGTTCTTAGAAGGCCTAATAGAACTATTGAGTCCCAGTCTTCCTGAAAACCAACACATAAGTTACACGAATCTGGTTTTTGTTACAGTTGTTTCCATATGCCAATAAACATGCTTCCAAACATGACAGTCAAAATTCTGTCACCAAAAACATCACACAACACATTAACTGGAAACCGTTGCTGAAACCTAGATATCTGTACAACGTGAGGATTTGCATCGCACCAATGGTGAATGTTGTGAAAATCCAGTATGTCGTTTCTAGTAAAACAATTTCATCCGTAAAAAGCACCTTGCTTGTAAAATCCGAATATTATGCTATTTGACGTCGAAACCACAGGTAAAATTCCACACGGGACTGAAAAACATTGTTATTTAATGTCTGAAACCTTTCTACATGATAGGGTATAAGAATTGTTCCCGTAGTACACGCCACACGGTACTGTTAGATGCACCCACTTCTCGACCAATGTCGCGAGTACTGCGCCTCGAATCTTCCTCAAGGAGGTTTATCATGTTTTCTTCGTTGTTCCCGGTTTCACGTACCCTTTGAACTGCCTTTTGCACTGTTCTACTATTAGGTGATCGTCTGTTACGGTAACTGACGGCATATAAACGAATAAGTCTCATTTAAATTTATTGACATTCTCCGTACATTAACACCATATCCGCTAGTTCAGAAAACATTTTATATGCCGACTAAGTAATACTGCAACACAACGCACGTGCACAAGATGCACAGGGTGAGTTTACATTTATGGTTAATTTTCTTAATTAATTTTCTCGAAAATAGAAGCATTAAACCAACAGTTGCTTAATAAAAGTTGCTCATTTTCGTGCCCTATATCACCCTTTTCAAGGAACGCACTTATTTCAGAAACACTCTGTGTATACAATGCATCCTTAAAGGACATGTCAAATTTTATTTTTATTTATTTATTACTTGTACAGCTTGACCAAAATCATCTTGTTTTGAATTTCAGTGCGCACTGGCAACATTACCAGGCTAGCACCGAAGCTCATTCTCTGTCTGAACCTACTACCTTACTATTAAGGCCTCATGTCTTTGTCACTCCTCCTGCGGACTCTCTTCTTGATCTGCGCATCTCGCGACAAGATGAGTCTTTAAGGGAACTCTTCGGAAATACTGTGAAAACAATTACTTAAAAAAATATCATTTATGTAGCTTTTACATGCATCATCTTAATCGCCTGAAGTCATTATAAAAAGTGCATAATTAAAATTGAAATTATTGAACTTTTGATATATGATGTTTTGTTTGTTTTTGCTTCAGATTGCGTTTTTGGAAAAGAGATACGAGGAACGCGAATATCGGTTGAGAGCCATCGTCCACAGCTTAGCTCAAAAGACTGTGACCAACAGGAGTTGCGAACAGTGCGCAGAAAGGCAACAACAGTTGATAACCTATAAAGTGGAGTTGGATCAGCTTCTCGCCACGGTTAGAGCCTTACAGTAATATGATGCAGAATACCCTCAATTGAGCATCAGCAGAAAATTAAAAAAGAAGTGAACACCACATTACCGAAATTTCCATTTTACTACATTCGGCTTGAAAATTTGTTGATGCTAGTTGTGAATGTAAACCTTAACTCAATGTAATCTTTGCTCAGTGGCAGGACCGACAGTATTTGCCTGGGGTGGTTATCAAACATAGTTTAAATAAAAAGAATATCAATGAAGTTCAACAAAATTACTGAGGGAGGTCAATTTTTACTAACTTTTCGAATGATTTTTGTTCAATGTCGACAGTTTAAACATATTTTAGTGACGTCTTGATTGTTTTCTTGAATTTCCCAAAATTAAGCTTTGTGAAAGCAACAAACGCCTTGATTTACTGATTTTTTTTCCTCCTACCTTCTAGGCCACTTCACCTCTGCTTTTGCTGAAATATCTATTGACAGTTTGTTGGAAAGTTTAGCGATTTGAGAGTTAACATTTGTTAATTTGGAAGATAAGTTAATAAAGGTGTTGTATGTATAAAAAATTGTATGTTATGACTTTACACCTCAATTCATCAGGTAACATCTGTATTCAGTTGTTGAATTGGTCGCAGTAACTAAAGAATGTTCTGTTCGTATATTGGAAAATACTGGACTACATATGTAGTAGAATTTTATCCCAACATATATGGTACGTACTCTATAATCGTTATTTAATTTATTATGTTTAGTATTTTTGTCCATATTTGTATTTTTTTTACTTTTTTCATATTAAATTTATTACACATCTAAATGATTTATAGTATAGTACTAGCCACAATGTACTTCCAAAGATGCCGCTGCTAGTCAGATAGTCTAATATTTTTATAGATATTTAGTATTTTTAGTACATAAGTATATTTATATGAGTTTTATGAAATTGCCTGTTATTATAATGTTTAATAAATTTCCTTAAATATAGAACTGTATTTTTATTTTAAAATTCTACATCGGTCAGTCACAAATGTTTTGAAAATGCCTAACGATTTTTTTTCAGGAACATATTGAGCCTCAGAAAAATCTGAAAAAATTCCCTTGTCTTTGTCGACCCTCGCGAATTTAAATCTGAAATCAGTTTTCCAGTTTTCCAATTGTTTGCTTCAATGAAAGCGTCTCGGAAGTCACTTCAGTTTCAAAGTCAATGAGATCTTCGCTGAAGTACATGGTGGAAGAGCTTCCGGTGGCTGGTTGGTAACAGGAGAGGTCCTTGGACAGCAGGTATGACGAAGCCGTGCCTGTGACAAATATCCAGCAAATAATTAGTCACACACACAAAAAAAAAGTTGTCTGTACTTTTCATGCGACATATGTTATCCACGGGGATAACATTATCACGAATCCGGTGTCAGAATTGATCCTATTCACGGGAATTTTCTAACCTCAAAAAAAACAGGTCAAAAATAGCAAAAATTCACGAAAAAGTGCTAGGAAAAGTACAAATTTTTTTTTTCTATATTCAAATGGTCATTTATAAGGTTAAGACCCCGCCGAACGTGAATTCGCGGTCAGAATTGATGGTTATTTTTCTAACCTAAAAAAACGGGTCAATTAATGTCATATATCACGAATTTTCAAAAAAATAACATTCGCGACAAATTTGGTATACGGGGGCTTTCGGGGTCACTGATCACGGATCCGAGGTCAATTTTGCAAAATTCTAGATGGCGGATCCAAGATGGTCAACCAAATATTAAAAAAATAACAGATTCGCGCCAAATTTGGTATACGGGGGTTTTCGGAGTCACTGATCACGAATCCCTACATAATTCGTTTTTAAAAATTTAATCAATTACCTTACTTTACGAAGGTTAAAACATGATCGGGTAGGTACTCAGGTTACAAAGTAAACAAAAATATTCCAAAATGAATTTCGCAATTCTGACCTCGAATTCGTAATCAGCGACCCCGAAAACCCCCGTATACCAAGTTTGACGCGAATGTGTTACTTTTTTTAAAATTTGGTCGGCTACCTTGAATCCGCCATCTTCAATTTTGCAAAGTTGACCTCGGATCCGTGATCAGCTATCCCGGAGGGTGAAAGCCGCCATGAACGAACATAATCAGCCGCGTAGCATCGCCACCTAGAGTTACTAATCTCCGAAGATCTCAACTTATGTACAGTCCGTATAATATTTGTAAAAGAATTTATTTAATATTTATTAAAAAATTAGTAGAAAATAAAAGTTACGTTTATATAAACATTATGTCATTTTAAATTTCTCGCGCACTTTTTTCATAATTTACTTAATTACGTCAGCGCCGCCTTTACGTGATCCAAGAAATGGTTCACTTTTTTTAACACAGAGTCTTCACTCCTTGTAACTCATTAGTTATGGCTGTCAACGCCATCTTGAGATTACGAATATTTCCCGACAGATGGACAAAAGTCGTCGTCATCTTTCCGAAGCCAGATAGGAATTTAACTTTTGCCATTAGTTTCCTGTCGGTGATGAACAAGGTAACAGAAAGGATCATCCTAACCAAACTGCGAGAGAGCACGAGTGAATAACAAGTCATCCCCGACTAGCAGTTCGCTTACCGTAGTGGGCGCTGACCTATCAGCAGATTCTCAGGTTAATAGATCCTGTGTCCGCAAGTTTCAGCAACAAAGGATCGACCGATGTCAGCAGTTCTGGATGTCGCCAAGACCTTCGAAAAAGCCTGGCACGATGGGCTTCTTGCAGTAATATTCGACTTTTGGCTACCTTGTCAATTACTCGTATGTTCAGTTAGTTAAGTATTTCGTACGAGGCAGGCAGCGTTTATCGACCCATGGAGGACGTCATCCCCCAAGGCGCCGTGCGGTCACCGCACCTGTCAAATCATCTTCCCCTTGGCCTGACCAGGAAGGAACCCAGAACCATGTGTCTGTACGCCGATGACACCGTCATCGCGCCTCGTTCGCTGAACCCCCAGGTAGGGACGACTTACCTCTAAAGAGACATAAGCCGACTGGAGGATTGATGCAACGGATGTAAGGTGGCAATCAACCCCGAGAAGAGAATGGAGAAGACATTTAGTAGGCGACCACCATTAAGTGTTTAGGCGCGGATTGAAGGCGTGTTGAGCAAGGTCAGAATGGAGAAGGTTAAGCTTTACCCGCTGCCATGCAAGGGCAAATATCTCAGAAATTGAATTTATTAATAAATACATTTAAAATAAATAGTTTATGAGAATAAAGGGATTTTTGTAGGAACAGGGTGCCAGACGTGAACTGATCCCTTCATCCTTTCATAATGCATAAAGAAATTATTCAATTAATTTCTAAACCCCTTAAAACCGTACTGCACTGGATCCCTTTACGGGCAATAATTTATTACTTTGCATCGAATATGATCCTACTATAAATCTGAAATCAGTTCCTCTCTAAGTCTAGGAATTTTCGCAAATTTCAATTCATTTTATTATTTAATGTACTACAAAACTAATTACCATGATCAGCGGATCAATCATTAACCTAGAGACTTTATATACTTATTACAGTTGCGTATAGTTTTTTAGAAAACAACCAACTGTACAATTACCTGCTTTCTTTAGAAATCCCCTAGTGTTTATTATGATTTTTGAATGATAGATGGTGAACAGGTGGAATTTTTTAAAATCTTCCGGTTTCAAATCGTGTGCAACAATATACCTAGAACGGCAAGGAGATGACGTTAAGGTATAAATAAACAGGTAGTTATTTGAAATTATAACAACGTTCAACTATTAGATTAAACCTTCCTTAATTTATAAATAACTTTTCCTGAATCCACCTTACTGTCACTCTGGTTCCAGTGCAATTAAAAGAATAAATTAAGTAAGCGTCTTCCAAATTCCATTAACTAATTACGTAGCTGATTATGAAAATATTTAATTTTAGCTTAACACCTTTTTACTGCGAAGTAAAGCTAATAATATCTGTCTAAAGCTTGCTGAGTAAATATCTGTTTAGGATTTTAAAATAATGTTTTAATAAATGAAATTTTCTTTCTAACGGAATGTAACTGATGAAATAAAATATATAAATAAAATTTATTCTTATATCAGTATACGTCACTACAAAATTTAGCCAATGGGATTCTTTTTTTTAAGTATAAATATATACAGGGTGTCCCAGAATAACGTGTACAACGGAGGACCACGGATTCGTGGACTCGAAATAGGCAGATTTAGGTTATTCACCTATATCCGAAATCGCTTCGTTTGGCCGCTAGATGGCCTCAAAGTTCGTGAAAATTTTTTGAATTTTGTTAATAACTCGAATACGTATTATTCGATTTCGATAATTTTTGGGGTATGGACTTTTGCTCAAATTCAAAAAATGTTCACGAACTTTGAGGCCATCTAGCGGCCAAACGAAGCGATTTCGGATATAATTGAATTAGCCTAAATCTACCTATTTTGAGTCCACGAAGCTGTGGTCTTCCGTTGTACACGTTATTTTGGGACACCCTGTATATTCAATCTTCGCATCGGATATAGAAAATATTTGCAAATTTTAACTCAAAACTGATTTTAGATATGAATTAAGTAGGAAATCTAAAGATGATCATTTTTTATTTAAAACAAAGATCATTATTTAATTTCTATATACGAGGCATATCCACAAAATAAGAGTAGGTACTCAGGCGCCAAAGTGTGAGCGGGACAAAAAGTCAACGAGAATCACAGTTGCCATGATTTTCCGGACCAAAACAATGGTTTTAAATTTTTTCGCTGATGGTGAAGACGGATGTCGCCACTGCATTGATTGTCTTTTCGTCTCAGGGATGTGTGGGCCACCGACCTTTAATCATCAGTCACAAAACAGTCAATGAATTGTTCACTTAACGGGATTCGGAATAGCGACACTTATTTCAGCACGCACTACAACAACAGTTCTCAACTTACGAAGACAAATGAGGGCGCGTCTGCTCCCAAAAATTGACAAATAAGTTTAGTAGAAGTAGTAGAAATAAGTTCTTAAACTGGTTCATGTTAGAACAAATGCGAAATTGCAAATATAGCGTTAATACAAAGTTTTATTGTTCATGTGAAAGCGAAGTAGGTATTACAAAAACTTCTATGTTGTTGTTCTTCATTATCCTTTATTAATGAACTACGTCAAATATACTACTAGTCTAATTTTTTCGTTTTAATTTAACTAATTTGCAAATTTTATTTATTGTTGTATTGTTTAATATTTTTTTATTTTCAAGTACAGGTAATGATATGCCATAGACATATATAAATTATTACAATTATTTCTTTCGTTGAAATCAGTCGGAAGGAGTAGGCTTTGGGCACCCTATTGACCTGATGCCACCGCAATGCTCCCTTTCGATGTATAGTACCTCCACCACTGATTGCGTACTTTGGCAGGAGGTGTGGCAGGAGAGGATCAAATAATTTGATCTCGGATTGCCCCTAAAACAAGTTTTCGTGCCACGAGAAGACGTTTTGAAATTGCAAGAGAATGCGGAATAATATTTTCATATTAAATCTGATAACTAGCTCTTACAAATACAACTTTTGTAGCTATCTCTACATTTTTCATCAAAATAGATCCTTGTTGACTAATTGTCATCAATTTTTAATATTTTTATGATACCATAAGTTAAAAAAACAATAGGCATACTTACATCTCACATAATTTTATTAATTTTGTATGTTTTGACGCTAAGCATGAGCAACGAAAAGTACAGATTACTTTATGATAAAAGTATTACCTTATGTCAGAAATAATTTAATTTATTATCGTTATTTACATCATACGTATTGTTTACTTACGTACTACTAAATTTAAGCATATAATGCTATCATTTCATTAAGTACATACCAAATTTAGTAATTTATTTCATTCAGTACCCACTCCTAATAGGTTTTCTAAAGCAAAATATTTGATAATTAGATTTATTTATAATAATAATTGTACTAATAAAAAATGAATGGCAAAGTTTTAATCAATGTGATAACGAAAAAGCTACTTTGTCATGATGCCAGCAAAAGCAAAATATGTTTGCCTCTCATTTCAACTCGTCGATTAAGAAAAAGTAAACGTTTGTTGATTTAATTGTTTGAAGTAAATTTAAAGTATTGTAATATCTGAGAAATTTAAATTTTATATACAGGATGCGGATGTTTCAAAAATATAATATGAAACGAAAATAGAAAAATAGGTAAAGTTTGCTCTATAAACTCTTCTGGGGGACGAGGTATTCGAGATACAGGGTGTTAAAGTACGTCAGCGCATTACGAAGACAGAATGACAGAAAACAAATATTTTTTTTCTGTTAACTTTAACACCCTGTATCTTGAATACCGCGTCCCCCAGGAGAAAAGTATATAGAACAAATTCTACTTATTTTTAGGCAATTAATCTATTCCTGCAGTTTCTGTATTTACAGTAAAATCACCCTGTATAGCAATCATTATTTTTTTAAATCTATCGGTCCCTGAAATTTCCGCATCGGAAACTGGACCACCCTGTATAACTGATTATTGATATTATTTCAAAGACTTTGCACCCTAGTGCATTTTTGCATATAGACCTTAAACTAGGGTGGCTTGCTGGCACACGCATTTCAGGGACACCCTATATAAAATTTTTGCTACACGGGGAAAATGCAAGACGAAACACGTTTTTACCTTGAATTTTTTGTCATTTGCGACAATTGTTTGCTTAATTTAAGATATTAACTTTCTATTTATATAAGAATCCACATTTATCTATTTTCTTCTGCTACTCATCCTCATATCAGAACCAATTGTTGCGTGAGTAGTCAGGTATTTTAAATATTAATTATATAGTTAATGGCAGTTTCAAACAACGAAAAAGGTACTTCAACAATACCATAAAAGTTTCTGTTGGCCATGGATCATTCTGAAAAAATCAAAAGAAAAACCAATCCAAGGGAAAAAGCAAATATATTTTCTCTTCTAACATTTTTGTAAGTATATATATATTTCTTTATCCAGGTAAACTGCTAAAAATAAGAACGTGCCTGAGAAACAATTTTATTGTTGATGAGAACAATAACAACTGAAAATTATGCATTAATTAATTAAAATTAATATTAATAAATTAATAAAGATATGTTTTACTACATACTGCTTGTCAAAAATGACTGGGTGTATCCCAAATATAATATTTTGATGTTTGCACTCAAATCCTCATTTTAAATTACAGGATACTAAAGTCTCCTTCAGCATACATGAATTGAAATATGTGAAAGGGAATAGATACTATGATTGCATGATTATTAATTATGCAGATAGCATTCAAAACGCTAAGTGTAAATTTTATGTATAAATTAATTTTTTAGGACTATTTTGATTTTTTATTGTTTATAATATTGATTTCACTAATGTTTAAGAAAAAAAGCACATCTTACACAAAGAGTTACAATGTTAATCAATTTCTATAAATTTTGAGTAATTTTTCTCAAAAAAGCTCGTGAGGAACCTCTTAAGAATTCCCTAAAGAAAAAATTCAAAAAGCCCCCGTAGCCCCTGTCAACACCCTGTATTTTAGAAAGCAAAGAATTCAAATGTAAATATTTATGTCAGAAAATATTATTAAATCTGGACAAGGAAAATGCTTCTTCATTAATGACACGTTGTCGTGTTAACATCCCGTATAGTTGAAAAAACGTCAAAATTTATAAATTAAGTAGTAACAAAATAATAGTCCAGTCATTTTGGCTACCAATTTTTTCAGATGGAAGGCATTGACGTGAAATTTGAAATATAGCTAAGGAATAGCCCAAGAAACAAAAGTTATATAGTGCCGATATGTGCTTTTACCTAGGGGTGGATGCCACCCCTTCTGGAGGGTGGGAATTTTTTATTAAGAATAACCTCACGATTCGATAGAGGGACAAATTCTAAGCAAAAAATGTTCTATAAGAATTTTTTGTACAGTCAATACTTTTTGAGTTATTTGCACCTAAACATGTTCGTGTTTAGCCCAAAAAATGCATGTTTTTGAGCCATTTTTCGCGAATATCTCAAAAACTACAAGTTTTATCAAAAAAATTATCATAAGCAAAAATGAAGGTAATTAAATAGCAAAGACATTGCTTTTTTATTTTTGTAGGTGATATATAGAACCCCAGTTATGACTCCCAGAAGTTGAAGTCTATTTCGAAGATAGCTATAATCGAAACGTTCAACGTCCTATAGCGGAAAAATTAAAGGTTTTTCGAGGAAAACTTATATAACACTTATTGAAGTTCTAGAAAAGGCCTTTAAATTGAGTGGTAGTAAAAGTCGTTAGCATTAAAACTAATGAAATTACAATCAAAATAAGATGATTGTCTTGACGGAAAAAAAATTAATTTTTGCAATTTACTTTATTTGTCTATACTTTTATGTTTGTAGATTCGGGGAATTTGAACGATTTTGGAAGCCTAAATTTAAAAAAAATTACTTTTAAATAAAATTTTTAAATTTTAAAAAAATCGCATTTTTTCAAAATATTTCAAAAACTAACAAAATTTAAAAAAAAAATGATAGAATAAGAAATTTTAGGTTTTTTCTTACTGAACAATTTGCTTTTTTTAAATAAAATTTGACTTATAAGCTCCTAAGCTCCAAGACTGCCTTTCCTGTGCCCTTTTAGCTTACAAATCTAAAAACGAAGGGCTGAAAAACACTGCAAATCACAGAACTTAAAGTGCTTTAAATTCCCTACAAAATGTTTTTTTGAGTAAATTTATAACTTTAATATTACAAAAGTTACGGTAAAAAAATTAATCGATTTTTTTCGGTAAAATTTTCGGAGCGGGTAAATTACCATCATCTTTGTGTATTTTGGAGCACTTCTGAACTGATTTGAGTAAGTATTTTAATAATATACATACACACACGTATCCGATATTAATTTAATAAAAAAATATTAATAAATTCAATAAAATTAAAAAAAATTAATTATATCATCATACTTACATATAATTTTTAGGAAATTTTTCTATAAGGGCTAGGGTTTTTATGAGGGGTAGGTCTTCCATAAAGGTTTTTTGGGTGTCTGAAATGTTGCAATATATCATAGATCATTTGAAAACCAATAAAAATTTTATAATTCAACATATGCATCCCATTAAAACATCTCAAACTTTCAATAATATTTTTTGTTTTCTTTATTATAAGGGATGGTTTTTAAGGGTTGCATCTTTGTAATGAGTCGTAATAACAAAAGAAATGCAATACATTGTGAATGCACCAAAAGAATATTTTAAACTGTTAAACTTTGTTTCTATTTTTTTGGCCATGGAAGGGTAGTATTTTAGGATTTTTAAGGGTTAAAAAGTAATTAAATTTCATAAATTATATTAAAAAACATGAAAGGAACTTTATCCAACATATTTGAACATGAATTGAATTTTTAAATTACGTAAATCTGTGATTTTCGCATTTTTTTCGTACAATGGTAGTTTTCACCCTCAGATAGAAAAGAGCACACATCTAGACAATATAACTTTTGAAGTGGGGGGTCAGATGAGCTTGTATGTAAATTTTCAGGAAAATCCATGCTATCCGAAAAAAAATGGGAGCTTTTACCTTATTTTAGCCTTCAGTGACTGGACTATAATTCAGTATTTGCGTTATTCCATAATTATGTGAATATGAACAAAGAATATGTGAAAGAATTAAAAAACCATGCTATATCTTCAGGTACACTGGTGAGTTATTCACCAAAGCTTTGAAGAAAGATTTGGAAGAAGACGATGTCTACGAGGTGGTCAAAGTTTGCCGATCTAAAAAGTGCGGCAATAGATTAGAGGAAGAATTCAAGATTGAAAAACAAAAAGGAACTCCATCTATATTTAGATTATTATGGAATTGTTTTGGAATGAGATACATTCTTCTAGGATTGATCAATTTATGTTGGAGACTAGTTAATAGGTAATGATATTCATGAAATCATAAAAAATACGGTTGCATCGAGGGTAGCATTGTCTGTCCGAAATAGTATATAGGAAATAAGTGCCAAAATTTTAACCAGATATTTCTTATTTGGTTAAACTTATAACTTATCAATACCAACACTTTCGTATTTTTTTTATTTAAAATTTTTGTTACCCGACGCTGGAGCATAAATCGTATCGATTAAATAGGTTATTATAAACTAATTATGGTCGTGTTAGGATTTTGATGTCAGCACTCGGCGACCAATAGAGGACGTCGAGTACCAAAGAAACGGAATGACACTCTCTAGCTAGCTCGTTGGTTATGCAATTCATAAGTCTAGAATAAAGTTGTGTCTGTTTTATTCTTTTTATCTAATTTATTCATGATTAAATTAACTCGAGACTCTAAATTTTTCGGAGATCTCTCCTGAATTCGACACCAGTCTTCGATACGCCCATTTCTTGGGTACAGAAGTTCCGGTACTTATCTTATTGGCGGGCTCCCTGAATATCGGGGGTTGAAATGATTTAACTATACCATATTAATACCTAACTGACTGAATTTATAATTGTATGGATAATTTTGTGACTAAACTGAACTTACAACCCTACACCTTCCTCTTGTAACTCCGTAAAGCAACACGGGATGGATTAGTCAATCTCATTTAATGCTCTTATAGCTTAGAAAATCCGCCTAAAAACCAGCTATTTGATCTATTGTTATTTTCCTCACAACACTCTTAACAATTTATTTAAGTACCTTGGAGTTCCTACGCCTTTTCGAATGTGTTTCGCGCGTTATTAGAAATATCGATTTTTTCTCTTCACCATGGGCTAAATCGACGCGACACCAGATGCCCAACACATGGCCCCGACGATCGAAGCCTACTTGTTCAAAATCATTGCTAAATTTCATGGGGCCTTCTCCGAAGGACTGTGATCGTCTAGCTTTACAAATTTCCCGGTGACAAGAGGCGCCAGTTTCTCAACGTCTTTATGGCGACACTAAACCTACTTAAAAACCCTTAACTTTTGAATAATTATTGACTGAGTTGACTCATCCGTTCCGAGAACTAACAAATAATAATCTATCACGAGTCCCGGTTTTTGTTACAATACCTTACCATGTTTCTTGCACAGAATCATATAAAAAACTTTATTTATATTGAATCATCGCATAAAGTATTCGCATACGTTACTTATATATTTTTTTAATATATAGATGGCCTGTTAGTATCATTTTAAAGAGTTAATAAGTGTTGGATAAACACGTAAATTTTTTAAAATAATAAACAAAACTTGTGGCTTTTGGTGAGTTAAATAAGTGGTTAAAATGTTGACATTTATTTCTGGACACTCTGTATCCTTATTACTTATTGTACCTATATACGAGTATACTGCTATATACAAGCCATTTAACACTCCCGCTGCCAATATCTGAAATGAAGAAATTTATTTTAGTTCCGAAAATTGGGGTTGTTAGGTCCCTCGAATAGCTTCAAATTGTAGTTAGAACTGTTAGTTCAAATCTTTCTGTATAGATGGCGTGGCGATACTAAAAATTTTTTTAATCCCTGGAAAGAGGAAATTCATCTGAAAGATCGTTAAATTTTGAGTAATTTTTGTAATATAAAGTTTTTCCCTATATTTATTTGTTTTCGAGATATGTCCACTTCAATATGCAATGTATGATATAACAGAAAAATCTATTATTTTATCTACATAAATCACACCGAAAATATTCTTTTAAAATATTGTTATAATGACTTTATTCACTCCACATGCTAACTGGCAAACAATAAATTATAAAAAAAAAACAAATGATCAACTACAGAAAAAAAAAGTACAATTAGGCATCCCGTTCTAAAATTAAAAAGGGGTGAACTCTTTTCAAATATGTATATTAGCGATTTTTTATCAAAAATTTAATATTACGTTCTAATTTAGCATCAACAGAAACCACTCTGTTTAAAAATATCTACTGAACATTTAGTTTATTTACGTCTGCGTAACCGTTATCTTAAATTATTAAAGTTAGATATGCTTTTGTTTTTTGTTTTTTAAATTGCTATTAAGTTATTGAACTATCTTTTTATATTCTTGCTAATAAAAATTTAGTGTAGAAATCTGTCTGAGCCTAAGATTTTCGCATTTATTGAAAATATCCGCAACAACAAATATAAATAATATAATATAATATTAATTAAGTAAATAATTCTCTCCATTTCTATTAATCAACTTTTATTTCTGTGCATTTTTAAACCCGTTTATTACTTTTCTTCTGTCTCTATGTTTACAAAATTTTATTTTCTAAAACCTCACAGAAACTATTTTCTTAAAAGGAGATAATTCAATTATTTAAATATGCAATTGTGTTTTTTCTTTTGCTATGTATTATTTATAGTGAATATTTTCAATAAATGTGAAAGTATCAAGAGTTTATACACTAATCTTCTTTTTATTGTGAGATAAAAAAGTTTTCTTAAGAATTTGGTAACGTAATATAAAACAAAAAGTAAAAGATAAAGCTTGTTTAGATAGCTGACAGGTTGTAAATTAACGAATACGCTACAATAAAAGGACTAAATGTTTGGGTAGCAATATCTTCAGCACATTTAAATATATTTTATTCGATTTTGGTGCAGATGAGTTCGTAGGGATACTAAATTGGAATATATTAGTAACTTTTATATAAAAAATCGCATCTACTACTCTCCAAAAATTGAAGCAACAAACAAAACAGACGGCTCATAATCTTATTTTGTAAATCCAATATGACGGCCGTGTCAGTAATAGACCTATATTGGTGAAAGGGGAATGTAAATCCACTGTGAATTTTCAAAATAATAGTATATTCAGCATATAAGGAAAGATATAATAGTTCAGTTCTTACCTATAACTTACTTCAGTCTTTTTTCTTTTAAAAAGGCAAAAAAAATTAACGATCTCTTAATATGTGGCAACAATGGCATCATAATATAAATTTCAATACAATTTTTTTTTGTCATTCTTTATTATCCTCAGTGTTTTGGAGCCAGAAGCTATTGGAAAGTTGGTATCGTACTTTAATCCTGGCCAAACAATTATGAGTCTACATGATGCCATCTATTACGCTTCAATTATGATTGGACTCAAGTTAGTCCATTGTTTTTACTTCCAAAACTACATAATTTATCTTCAGCAACTGGCCATCCAAATTAGGACAGGCTTATCTTCTTTAATCTACCGGAAAACCTTAAAATTGACACCGTCAGCCGTATCAGAAATTAGTTTAGGTAAAGTATCAAACATAGAAGCCTTGTTCTTAAATAACGCTTGCATTTTTAGATTGCTTATTGATTTTCAGTTAATTATTTACTCAATGCGTCTTCTAGGTAATATAATAACAATCATAACAAAAGATGTCGTCCAATTTGAACACTCGATATGGCTCTTCAATGATTTATGGATTGCTGTGGTCCAGACGTTCGTCGTTTGTTTCTTAATTTACGCTAAGATCGGTTTGGCGTCCACAGTTGGCGTAGGATTGATGCTAGCAATAGTTCCTGCTCAAAGTAAATATTATATTTTTAATACGATACTCATTTGAGTTATTAGATCTAAATTATCTATGCTTTCAGTGTACGTTGGTAAAATGGTAAAGTCTATGCGACTAAAGATTAACCAGAAAACGGACGAGCGTTTACAAATTACCCAAGAGACTTTGTCCGCCATTAGAATAATAAAAATGTACACATGGGAGAAGTTTTTTGGGGAACGAATAGATGAAAGGAGAAAGTAAGTTAATGAAATATATATTTTGATTAAGTGATTTATTTTATGTATTTTTACCTAGAGCATACAATTGAACAAATACTTTCAAATTTTTCAAATTAATTTCAGGAAGGAAATTAATACCATGATGAAGACATCCTACCTTAAAATGTCGATGATAGTATCCAGCGTACTATGTTCAAAAGTTGGATTCTATGCCTTGATAATGACCTACATCTGGCTTAATAATAACGTCAGTGCCGAAATAATATTTTATCTCATGAGATGTTTCGGAACTCTGAGACACACCATTGCGATTTCAGTCTCAATGGGCATGGCACGAATAGCAGAACTGTCCGCTTCTTTAAATAGGATCAACAAGGTCTTAAACGCCGACGAATTAGAAGATGTTTTGGAAAAGCCTTCAGATTATCCGAAAGTTGATATGAAAAAAGCTTCCGTTTCCATCAAAGATAAAACGATATTAGAAAATATATCTCTAAACATGGAATCAGGTCTTACTATCGTAACTGGGCAGTTGGGCTGTGGTAAAACTTCCCTTATAAAAACTATTTTGAAGGATTATCCCGTCACTAGCGGATCTATAACAACTATTGGTAGAAAAAGTTATGCTTCTCAAGACCCTTGGCTATTTCCATCTTCTATAAAACAGAATATTTTGTTTGGAGAGACATTTGACAAGGAAAGATATAATAGTGTAAGTAAAGTCAAGCATTTGCATAAAACTAACTGAATTAAATGCACTTTGCTTGGGGAAAATTTCACATTTTGAAATTTTTTGGACGCGCTGTATATTTTATTACATATTTGATTACTGCCCACGGCTTCCCCCAAGATAAGCAAAACTTTTTATCAAGAATAACTTTTTCTCGAACAATCAACAATAAAAAGTTTACCAGAGTGTGGCACCCCATCCGGAAACACACTGTATACATTCTTATTAATCCAAAAAGGTTAATAATATTATCAAGTGAATACACACCACCCCAATCTTTTTTTTATTTTTAAAGGTATTTTTCTAATTGCTTCTACACTTGGTCTTTATCAACAATTCTTTTTAGGTTGTAAGAGTCTGTGCTTTAGAATACGACTTCACTCTCTTAGAAAAAGGCGACGAAACCATCCTGTCTGACCGAGGTCTCAATCTGAGCAAAGGCCAGCAAGCCCGCGTAAATTTAGCAAGAGCGATTTACAAAGAAAGCGACATCTACCTCATCGACGACGCTTTAACAGCTCTGGATGGCAGAGTTCAAGAAATTATATTTAGAGAATGCATCAAAGGGTTCCTCAAAGACAAACTGGTGGTTCTGGTCACTCACAACACTAAGCACATAAGCGAAGCCGATCAAGTCATTATTTTAAGCAACGGCACCATCAAATACCAGGGCAAAGACAAGGATATCAGCGTAGATCTTTTGGCAGCAATCGAGGAAGAGCCAGTAAACGAAAAGGATGTCGATGAAGAGGAGAACAATGATGCAAATGGAGATGAGAAAAGCAAACTGTTGAAAGGCGATAACGAACCTAAGCGGCGAAAGGTTTATCAAGAAATAAAAAAGGAAGGAGGTGTTAATTTGGAAGTTTATGTAAAATACTTTCAATTTGGTGGAGGATTTCTTTTGCTTGCAGTAATTATCATCATGTACTTCGGGGCGCAATTTACGGAAAGCTATTCTTCTAAATTGTTAACGAATTGGTAAGTTGTTTCTGCTTACTGAGAATTAAGTGGATAATAAATAGTTTGAAATCTTTTAATAATCAATATAAAGGTCTACAAGGTGGTCTGTTTTTCATGGCTCACCATTAGAATCTGGGAAATACACACAGGAAATACAGGGTGGCACAGATCAAAGACATCCGCTGCCGTTCCTGAAATATTTTGAAAAAATTAAAAATAGCGATTTTAGAAAATGCCATCTACCGTCCTTATTTCACAAAAGAAAGAGCTGAAATTTGATACTGGAGGATAAGGAGATACGAGGAAACCATTTTCTACGGCCAATAGTTTCAGTTATACAACAATCAATTATTCAATTGTTTTTTTTATTATGGGCGCCATATTGGATCTTGACAGTAGCAGGTAGAGGAGAAAATTACGAACATGCCAATATGTAACACTACTATTTTATTTGAAGAATAACCCATAAAATTAAAAACATTCAATAATTTATTTAAAAAATTAATAAATTCTAGTTATTCTTGACGTAAAACAAAAACCAATATTCGATAAAACAAAATAAACAAATATTCTACAAATCCCACATAAATACTTCAAAGTGTCGGCTATTCTCGTGTAGACAAAATCCTCAATCTAATTTTGTCTACAGCGTTTTGAATACTTTGTGGTGGACCTAAAAGCAGCAAATACTCTTTCACGTACGTTTTCTATATTTTCACAGGTACTATAATAAATTTTATCTTTTAAACAACCTCACAGAAAAAAATCTAAAGGGTTAAGGCATGGACACCGTGGATGCCAAGCTACAGTGCCAATCCAATTATTTGGAAAGTGTCGAATTAAATATTGGGACACCATTGCAGAATGATGAAAAATGAACTTGCTGAAACATTTCTAAATTTTTAATGTAAGGGAAGATTATCCAATGCATCCTCCATTTCTATCCTTAAAATATCTACTTCTGAGAAGTAATGTTACCGTCAATAAGAAACGGTCCTATTATACGATCATTTAATATTCCACACCGAATGCTAAGGGAAAATCTAATTTGGTGGCTGTCTCTTGAACCAAATTTGGATTTTCTATGGCATAATATTGCTTATTTCTATTAAAAATGCCATTATTTGTGAACGTAATTTCATCGCTCCAAATAATTTTCCTGCCTATCTTCTGTTATCTTTCCCTGAAACCATCTACAAAATTTTCTGGATGTAGATTTTGTACTGGTATGAATTTATAGTCATGGTAGGTACTTTTTTTTCAAAATTATTTTAACGGTTGTTGTCCGTGAAGTACATTCTCTTGCGATTACCCTCGTAGAACTATCATGATTTATGTTAACTTGACCCAAGATATTTATTTCATTAATGAGTTCCCGTCTTACTTGATACATTTAATTATGCAATTGGGAAAAATAATCTCTTATAACCATTTCTCCATACTTCCAAATTCTACCATATTTCTATACTTTTTAAAATACCGTTCGATGAGACTGGTGTCTTTCTGGATATAATTGATAATATCTTCTAATAGTTTCCACAGAATTTTTATTATTTTTTTATGTATAATTCATACATCTCCCTCTTCGATGTAATTGAAAACTTTACCATAATTTCAGTTAAAATAAATATTAAAATAATGTACACAAGGAATCAAGCGCTGGCAAATTTCAAATCTGTCAAAATGCTTGTTGATTTTTGTTTTACATCAAGAACTAGATTTTATTAATTTTTTAAATAAATTATTAGATTTCTTTAATTGTATGGGTTATTCTTCAAATAAAATAGTAGTTACACCAGGAAAATTAGAGAAAATTTATTTATTTAATAGTCACAAACTTTTATTAGCTAACTTTTCTATTTAAACAAATAAGTGAGGAAAACAATTTTTTCATTTTGCAGGGAAAACCATCAATTTTAGCGAAAAGTGACTCACATACAGCTTGTAGGGAGTAAAATTATCTACAAAATGAGACTTAATTATTTTTATTAATATTTTTTAATTTTGAGAATTTTGCAATAAATTCAAATGCTTTTTATTCTTTTTTAAATCTTTAACAATAAATAATAATTTGAAAATAATTGTGAATTTTTACTTTAATTTTACATTTAAATCGTAATTAAATAGCTAACAAAATATTGAAAAAACAAGATTACTTTGCCTTAATATGTAAAAAAATACCTTTTTAAATGAACGATAGCTTTATTTATTTATTTATTTATTTAATAATAGTAAAATAATTCCGAAATTGAAATTTTAATTAATATTTCGTTTAACAATAACAATTTGACATTTTTGTAAATTAAAAAAAAAATAAGTATAAAAGATGCATTTTTTCTGGGGTTCAGGGCTATTCTACGAATTCGTAAATATGCCCATTGTTATTTTTTCGTCGAGCTACCCCAGTTAAAAAAAAATAAGTTTCAACGATGAATAGAAACCGAGATATTGCAAAATTTACAGGGCGTATCAATTTGAACTTTGAAATTAACTTTTCTCGCGCGCGCGACTCGCTTGGACGAGCTTCCCCCACCACCACGCCGCCGGCCGCCGGACAGTTTACTGCAATTCACGGGAAATCGTAGTTTACTATCCATTGCATCTATTTTCGGTGAGATAGCATAAATAGCAACAATTTTATTCAAATTGTTTATAAGCGAAAAACGCACGGTTTTTTAATGCACAATTTGAGAATGTTAATGTCAAAAAAACGGTGATATTTTTTAATAGATCGTTTAATTACGTCTTTAAGAGTACAATGACGCTTTCAGAATCATGTTTGGTTGAAAATTAACGCCTGTACAGAGGCTTAAAGTTCATAACTTTTGGAGCCTCCGTTATAAACAAATAGAATAGAAATAGAAAACTATTGGACCTACAGCGCCCACTTTTGGCACACTTTTAAAGTATGACAAAACCCTCAACCTGTCATAGGTTTTATAAAATTTTAACAATAAATGCGATAGTTATAAACAAATTAAATATGGGCACTTTTCTTGTTTTTTTTTGCAATAACTTTTTTGTTTATTAACCGATTTTAATTTAATAAGTCTCATTTTGTAGAGTCACTTTTCGCTAAAATTGATGGTTTTCCCTACAAAGTGAAAAAACTGTTTTCCTCACTTATTTGTTTAAATAGAAAAGTTAGCTAATAAAAGTTTTTGACTCACGAGATGAGAAATGTCTTTTATTATGTTCCTTTAGACAATTTTACAATAATTTCGCGGATAGGACTTTTTTCGAGTAAAAATTTAATTTGCTTGGTCTATGTTACATATTGACCTGTTCGTAATTTTATCCTCTATTTGTTACTGTCAAGATTCAATATGGCGCCCAAAGAAAAAAAAAACAATTGAATGTTGCATAACTGAAACTAGTGACCGTAGAATTTTCTTTCGGTGAAAATGGGTTCCTTGTATCTTCTTACCAAATTTCACCTCCTTCTGTTCTGAAATAAGGACGCTAGATGGAATTTTCTGAAATCGTTATTTTCTAATCTTTTTTCTAATTTGAGCCACCCTATATACCTCACGGTTTCCCAGACGCCAATGGTGAGCCATGAAAAACGGGCCACCGTGTACGATACAAAATAGAATTCTTAAAATAAAGTAGGAAATCTAATTATCAATATTATTATTATTATTATTATTATTACTATAGACTTATTAATTTTGTGTTATCAGTAGTACCTATATTTTAGGGTGAATTTACAACAGAATATCACTAACATCAATTTTACAACGGACATCGCAAAATTTGCCAATGAACATCACCTTAATGAAACGTAAGTATTTTTAATTGGACAGTAACAAACTATTTATAGTTCGGGTTCGATGTTCCCGATACTGAAATATCGTAAATTTGTATGCAATAATTTTTAGGGTGAACCTACGTGAAAACGCCACAACCTCTCTATTTATCGAGACGACTGAAAATTTTACCATCAATCCTGATACATTAAACGACACATACTTTGACCCGAGTACTAACAAATCTTTCACTATAACGGATATAGAAGACAAAATAATAAGCATGAAGAAACTTGACATAAAATCGCACAAGACTCTCAACATGTACACGTTGATGATTATATTGTCCACGGTACTTGAACTTGTAAAACACTACCTCGTATTCACATTTGCCAGAAATTCCTCTATCAATTTACATAGGAAAATGGTTAACAGTATTTTGAATTCTGTGATGTCGTTCTTCGACAATTACTTCATCGGGAATATTTTGAATAGATTTATTCAGGACTTGAGCGTCATTGACGAACACCTGCCTTTTATTCTGAGCATCCTTATTGGGGTGAGTAGGTCTTAAAATTATTTAATTAAACTAACACTGACATACCTTCCCTTTCAGACGTGTTTTTCAGTTTTTGGCATCATAATCCTGATAGCAGTAGTAAATTGGAAATTCTTCGTACCTTCTCTTGTCTTCCTCGTATATTTAGTGGTACTACGAGTGATTTATATACCAGCTGCAAGAAGCATGAGACGGCTCGAGTCTGCAAGTAAATTACTAAGGTTCCAAATTAACGTCGGTAATGCAATTCTCTTCTTTTTTTTAAGCACGAAGTCCCATAATAGGACATTTAAATTCGTCCATGGAAGGCTTAACAACAATCAGAGCTTACAAGGCTCAAAGTACATTGAAGGATGAGTTTGATAGACACCAAGATCTCTTCACATCGGCAAATTACATCTCCCTTTGTGCCAAGAGAGCTTTTGCTTTTTACATGGATTTATCATCTGTGATATTTTTGATCATTATTGTTGGAAGGTTTCTTTTCTTTGACGTGGGTAAGTTCTCTTCTAAAACCACCTTGATGAAATTCGTAAATTTTTGGTTGATATTTTAGATACGGCAGCTGGCGATGTCGGACTAGCCATAACTCAAGCTGCTGGTTTGGCAATGATTGTCCAATTTGCGCTAATGCAATGGTCTGAAACAGAGAGTAATATGACCTCAGTGGAAAGAGCATTAGAATATACCTACCTTCGGCAAGAAACCAAGGAAGGTATCAAATTGGAAGATTGGCCTAAGAAAGGTGAGATAAACTATGTCAATGTTTCTTTGACATATAGAAGCACGAACGAGAAAGTGTTGAAGAATATCAGTTTCGCTGTAAAATCCAAGCAAAAAATCGGCATTGTTGGCAGAACTGGTGCTGGAAAGTCTTCGATAATATCAACTCTCTTCAGGCTTTACAATTATGAAGGCCAAATATTCGTCGATGATGTTGAAATCAAAACCTTGTCTCTGGAGTTTCTCAGGCAACACATTTCTATAATTCCCCAGGATCCCATAATGTTCCAAGGCACGATAAGAAGCAACATCGATCCTCTACAGCAATACACCGATGAAGAGATATGGAAAACTATCAATAAAATAGAGTTAAAAAATATAATACCTAGCCTGGACCTTATCATAACAGATAACAGCTTCAGTACCGGTCAGAGGCAGCTGATTTGTTTGGCCAGAGCTATAATAAGAAAAAATAAAATCGTCGTTCTAGATGAAGCCACTTCTAATATGGATCCCGATACTGAATTTTTGATTCAGAAGGCCATAGTGGAAAATTTCTCGCAGTGCACGGTCTTTATAATAGCGCACAGGTTACAGTCTATTTTAGACTGTCATAAAGTTATAGTGATGGAAAAGGGAGAGATAGTCGAGTATGAGGATCCCCTTATTTTGATGGAAGACAGCGGCAGTATGTTTTCGCAAATGCTGAGAAATGCAGGTCTGAAACGAGATCAGACAGAATCGACTACGGAATAGTAATTAAGGACTTTCATTGTATGCGATAGGTATTGGTATACAGGGATGGCCAGAAGTACGGAATAAAATTCATATCTTTTGAATGAGTTAATTTTTTTAAAAACGCCGAAACACGTTAACTGATTTTGATTTTTTCCCATCTTTCGGTTATACAGGGTGTCTCACATTTAAATAGCAGGACTTCAGGAATCAGTAGAAGACCTCATTTTGAGTCTAAAAGTTCCTATATATATGGGTCCTAAAACGCTTTGTTTCTGAGATACAGGGCGTTCAATTTTATTTTTGTTTTATTTATTTATTTTTTAACTAAATAACCGCTGACAAAAAAAATCATCATGTTGCGGCGAAAGACTTAGTATTTAAGGGCAAATAATTTGACACAGAAAATCATCGCATATTAGTTCCAGTGGTGGAGATAGAGGGGTCTCTATGCATATTTTTATAAAAAAAAGTATAGCCGATTTGATATTTTGCAAATGTTTTCGAAAAATATGAAAGAGCATTCAATTTTACCCAGAAAAGGCCCTCTTGTCCAAAGTCGATAGGAGGTGGCGTTTTCAAGAAAAACCGAAAATACTGTTTAGAAGTCAAATAATAATTTTTAAACATTGTGTTACAACTAAATTAAATATGTAGTTCAAAAATTCGGTTAAAATTGTTTTTAATTAATTAAATGAAAATAAATACAAAAATAAATAACGAAAACCATATTACATCAAAGCAAATGTTCGAAATGTAAACCATTTTCTTCGATACATAACTGACACCGACGCTGAATAGAACGTCTCATTTGAATTAAGTTATTGTCTCTGATTTCACTGCATGCGTTCCGAATCCGACGAATAAGTTCATCCCTTGTGTCCACAGTAGTGGTATAAACTCTCTCTTTAATAAAACCCCAGAGGAAAAAATCTAGGGGTGTCAGATCAGGGGATCGGGGAGGCCATGCAACGATACCCCCGCGGCCAATCCATTTTTCGGGAAAGTGGGTGTTCAACCAGTTCCTGACATTTCGGCCAAAATGAGCTGGACAGCCATCAAGTTGAAACCATGCTCGCATTCTTAAATTCAGAGGAATTTCCTCCCACATGTTGGCACTCTCGGTCTCTAAGAACTCTAAGAAATTCGCAGAATTCAGTCGTTGAGGTAAGATGTAAGGGCCGAAAAGACAATTGTTATAAACGCCGAGCCAAATATTAACACTAAATTCGTGCTGAAAATTTCGTGGTCTGATTGCATGCGGGTTTTCATGTGCCCACTCATGCTGATTGTGTAAATTTGTCACACCTCGACGAGTAAAACATGACTCGTCGGTCCATAATATGTGTGATAAAAAATTTCCGTCGTTTTCAATTGAGTTAAGAATCCACCGAGAAAAAGCTATTCTATGTTCCTCGTCACCCGGACGTAAACCCTGAACAGGTTGTAAGTGGTAGGGATGTCTATGATCTCGTCTTAATGTTCTAGAAATAGTGCACCTGGAAACACCAATAATCCTGGAAATTTTTCTGGTACTCGTCGTGGGATCTCTGTCAAATTCGTGCAAGATTCGCTGATTCCTCCTATTTCTGCCAATATTAACGTTAATTATGTTGCGATCCCTATGGACCAGATTCAATCCGTCATTAGCGAAACGTTGATGAATATTAATAAAAACGTGTGGATGCGGCTGTCTTCTATTAGGAAATCGTCTCCGATATTCCCTAGCAGCTTCTGCCGAGTTCCCATTGGCAAACCCGTATACGAAGTGAATATCTGCGTATTCTTGGTTCGTAAACTTAAACGGCATTTTGAATTTGTTGCAATTTTTTTTAATACTCTACACACAATTAGAAACTATAATAAAATAAGCGCAAATGTCAATATTAGAATGACATTTCAAGTCTGATTTGATTTCTAAACAGTATTTTCGGTTTTTCTTAATTTGACTTCTAAACAGTATTTTCGGTTTTTCTTGAAAACGCCACCTCCTATCGACTTTGGACAAGAGGGCCTTTTCTGGGTAAAATTGAATGCTCTTTCATATTTTTCGAAAACATTTGGAAAATATCAAATCGGCTATACTTTTTTTTATAAAAATATGCATAGAGACCCCTCTATCTCCACCACTGGAACTAATATGCGATGATTTTCTGTGTCAAATTATTTGCCCTTAAATACTAAGTCTTTCGCCGCAACATGATGATTTTTTTTGTCAGCGGTTATTTAGTTAAAAAATAAATAAATAAAACAAAAATAAAATTGAACGCCCTGTATCTCAGAAACGAAGCGTTTTAGGACCCATATATATAGGAACTTTTAGACTCAAAATGAGGTCTTCTACTGATTCCTGAAGTCCTGCTATTTAAATGTGAGACACCCTGTATAATAATTAATTTTTCTTCAACCCCCTAACCCCCAGCTACCCCTACTTTTTTTCAAATGGAAACATAAGGCATGAGGGGGCTCATGGAAAGGTTATAGAAAACTGAATCCAGCCATACCAAATAAACAAGTTTCATTTTTTCAATAACAAGGTTTTTAGGGTTGTATAAAACACCTACTTAACAAGTGAAATAAAATTTAATTATCTTCAGTGTTATCCTCCATGAATTTGCACAGAATAAAATAAAAAATTTGAAACTACCTATCACTGCTAACGTGTTTCGGCGTTTTAAAAAAAATTAACTAATTCAAAAGATATTAATTTTATTCCGTACTTCTGGCCATCCCTAAATATGTATTTACAACTACATTTCAGATTTGTTGTGTGTGACTATTTATATGTTTAAAAACTACATACCAACAATAAATATTGCTAGAAATGAATTTTACTTGATACCTATATGTAAAAAAATAATAAACTTTTGAAAATACTTGCCAAATTTTCTCCCCAATTTCATTATTTTTCTTTTCTTGTTTGATAAATACAACACAGTATTTTTTAAATTGTCATTTGCTTTAATTTTATTTACCTATGAGGGTTTCAAATGACCCTTGTTTTGCACTTTGTTTTATGGAGCACTGCCAGTTTAATATTCCAGTGTATTTATCACTGTCTTTGAATGCTTGCTAGGCACTAAAGTTTGTTATTTCGGTCTCCGTAGAGCATCTGTATGCTTTAGAAGCTTTTTTCACATCGCCTCCTTGGAGGGCTTGGGTATGGCAGCTTTAGAGGTAGGTATTTTCGCCGTAGGTAGAACGGACCTAGCTTGAGGAATTGCGGGATATATGGCTATAGCTTGAGGAGCAATGGGAGCTTTGAGCTTGGCTTGGTATTTTTTGCAGAAAAATATAACTAAAAAGTATAATAATAAATAAATATATAAAAATATTTTGTAAATATACTCGTAATATGAGTATTATTGATTATATTCTTAATAATGAAATAAATATGAAGGCATATAAAATATAGATGTAATTTGGATCGTGTACTAATACTGGCCAGGTTCTGAATGCTGATTATTGAATTTCAGGCTAGTCGGGTGGACGTTCGTACACAGTTCGTTCGTAATACTCTTTTAACTGCATGATTATTGATATTGATGTTGGTTATTGATTTTAACTGTAGTTCTGATTTCTTTTGATATTTTAATCTGATTCATACTCTTCAAAGTCGACTTCAACAGTCATGTCTTCTTCGATTTCTTCTTCTTCTTTTTGCTGGATGTTCATAAATTGTTCAAATGAAGATGAATCAGCTGTCTCTTCATCGAAATCACATGAATCTTCGTCTGTTGTATTCAATTGGACATTTGAGCAAGACTGGCTTTGGCAATTAGTACACGCTGGAGAACACAGTAACCCTATTCTTCTACAGCCACATTTAGCACTACAACCTTTTTTGCAATTGCAAAAAATAGTGTTTAGGAGTTTTTCCGGAGCAAGTGGGAGTAAAGTTTGGATCGGTTCCAAAGTATTATCTGTTAATTTCCAACCCCAGTCATCTTTGTTCAGTTGATTGCCTAGCCATGTCTGAATTTGATAGTATACTCGATACAAGTGTTGATTAGCAGAAGCCGATGTTGGAGGAAGACAAGATAGTTGTACTTGTTTCGTGTATTTTTTACAAAAGTTAAATTTCTATATTTATCTATACAATCAATTTTTTTTGGAGCTCCATAAACAGCAAGGAAAAAAGCGATTTCTTTTTGTGATTATTGTTTGGGGTGAAGAATTAATTTCTGTAAATACTTTAGCGCAATCAGTCAAATCTTTTTTTTTTTCAAATAATTTTAATACTGATGTTTTACCGCTTCTGAACATGCTGATGTAGTATCGCAGCCGGTTATCGCATGTAAAAATAAGATATGGTTTTGGCATTTTGGATAAGCAGATAAACTTTTTGAAGAATATATTTCTGTTCGCTGTTGAGCCTTTCCAGGTTTTAAAAAGTATATAATTTTATCAATTGGAGTCCTTGCAGTGAGTAGTATTAATAAGTCAACATACTCACCAACTAAAATAGTTGTATTTGTTGCATTAAATTGTTCTATTGCTGTTTCAATTATAAGGACATCTGCGTCATTTTGACTAAGGGCCTGTGTTTCTTTTGAGTGTATATTTTCAGAATAGTATAGTTTATATATACAAGAGACACAAATAGGCATTTTTACTTGTATTAAGTGCCTGACTATGTATATACGTGGCATATATGTGCATATCACGTAGAACGTGACTCCTTCAACTTTTAGAATCACGATATCCCAGGAATGACGATTCTTAGAAAAAAAAATAACTATAAGGACCATTTTTGTAGATACTACATTTTTGATAAAACTTAAAGTTTTCGAAAAAAATCCAAAACACCCCAAATTTTGACCTTTGACCCCGAATAACTTTTTTAGCACACATGGGATTGAGGGGGACTTTTGACACTTTATTTCTAATGGTGTACCCAAGGTCTCCACCTAAATTTAGCTCTGTTGGAATTTTTGTTATTTGACCACTACTTAATATGACCGGACTATTGACAATGAAAGTAAAAATCAGAATAGGCGTGATTTAAATGAAACTGAACCTGCAGAAAATATTGAAAGAGATTTAAAAAATTCAGTTAACCTCAACATTCTAATTCATCTCAATCCTTTTGTTTTTATTCAACAAAGATGTCCTGGCATTTCTTTCAAAGTAAATACATGCATAAACAATTATTTTTGTTGCATCAGTTAGGTACCTTCTTTGTTGGGTATTACAAATGCGAAGTTCAAAGAAAATATTTAATTTAGGAATTCAAATATTTATTAAGTTATCTTTATCTGCATCTGTCTATTCACCTGTCAAAATTAATGTAAAAATACGCAATGTCTCATGAACAAACATGGTAAGATTACATACTGCGAGGCAACTATGGCAAGCAATAATTTTGAATCGCCTCATTTTAATATTGTGTAACGTTTTGACATCAACTAAATGGAGCACTGTGAGAAAATAGAAAGAAAGACTAATCCAAGGGAAAATGCCAATCTCCTTTCCTTGCTGACGTTCGTGTAAGTACCAATAATAGAAAATAATATTTAGAAAAGACTAACGTACTACATATTTCCTAAAGTTTCCTAAAGATATCTATTAAAATATAAATTGATAATGATACGTTTTATGTTTTGAGATTTTTTATTGGAAAATTTTCAAGTAAATTTGATATAGGGAAATGTGACCAATGTTTTCCTAGTAAGTTAATCAATACATTTGAAAATTAATTTCAGTTACACTGGTCAACTATTTTCGAAAGCTTACAAACATGATCTCGAAGAGGAAGACATATACGAAGTGATAAAAAGTTGTGGATCGGAAAAGTGTGGCGATAAACTGGAAAAATGTTTCAATACTGAAAAACAAAGAAAAAAACCATCTACGGCTAGGATGATATGGAAGTGCTATGGCACTACATATATCGGTTTGGGCATGATCCATTTATGTTTCAAACTCGTCAACAGGTGACCTACCTGAAAATGGACTACCATGTTATCTTCTATCTATGATATATTTAATTTCAGTGTCTTAGAACCAGAAGCCATAGGAAAGCTAGTTTCCTATTTTAAGCCCAAACAGACTACTGTAACCATATATGATGCAATGTACTATGCAGGGATTATGATTGGACTCAAAATTTTGCATTGCTTCTATTTTCAAAACTACATGATCTACCTTAAGCAACTGGCTATCCAAATACGGACTGCCTTTTGTTCGCTAATCTACAGGAAAACCTTGAAACTCACACCATCTGCATTGCTAGACGTAAGTGTAGGTGAGTGTCTTCAAATGTATGCAAATATCCTTGAAATAAGTGTAAACATTACTGAAATTTTAGGGAACATAATCACGATAGTGACCAAGGATGTTCAACAGTTTGAATCTACAATTTGGCTCTTCAACGAATTGTGGATTGCTTTAATTCAAACGGCGGTCATTTGCTATTTACTCTACTCCAAAATTGGTATCGCATCTGCAGTTGGTATAACACTGTTACTGCTTTCAATACCTTTACAGTGTAAGTAGAAATGCTTAGTAAAGTAAAAAGTTAAAAACCTGATACTCTCTTTTCAGTGTATATAGGAAAAGTCATAAAACGTATGCGATTAAAGATCAACAGAAAAACTGACGAGCGTTTGCAAGTGACCCAGGAAAGTTTGTCTGCAATTAAGATAATTAAAATGTATACGTGGGAGAAAATTTTTGGGCAAAAAATTGACTTTGCGAGAAAGTAAGAACATTTTATTTCAATTCACAAGGCGATTTTCTTGGACAGAAAGTCGTCTTAAAATGCATATATCCTGACGTATGGTAATAATAATTACTTTTGTTTTAAAATTGTTACTTGTAAACCGATTTTCAGTTCATTCATACAGGGCGTATCACAACGAAAAGTCAAAAATAAGGGAGCTTGTTTCACTCCATATATTAAATTTGCGAATCTTTCACAGCTTTTACCATTCCGGTCATAGTTGATGTCATTAATAATTAGAATATGTGAAAAAATGCCCGACGTTCATAAAAGTTAGTAAATACTTTTACTGAGAATACTGTATAACTTTTACTTTGAAAAATATTTATTATAATCAGAATGTAATAGTTAATTTTCCAAAAACACATACTTACGAGGCACCCTGTAAAGTATTTGCAAATAAATACTTGTTATATTTTAAATAAATTGAATATCTGACGCTAAAAGTAGAATTTTTATTGAAAAAGTAACTTGCCTCTTCAAAATGTGACATTTTTAAAATGTGAGAATAAAAATTGTTATTATTCTTTATTAAACAGAATTGACAAATTAAACAGAATTGATAATTATATATCAGTAATTATACCTACATACCTAAGTTACATTGATACGATGAAAACATTTTTGGGACCGCTGATTCCGCCAATAATAGGCCCCATACACGATCAACAATTTGCACAACAGAGGGCGTTGTGCAAATTGTTTGATTATGTATGTCTTGATTGGAGCTGTTGGGCAATAGTTTTAGTAAATTCGAGTTTGAAGGTGTTATACAGGGTGTCCCATAACCACATGATCAAAAAGGTACTGCGACATTTTTTGGCTCAAAAGAAGACGATTTGATCTAACTTCCATTAAGAAAAAATGTCTGGCTCGTCTGCTATTGACTGTCAAAGTTCTTGAAAAAAGATATGTTTTTTGTAATATCTGGAGAATGTGAATGGACAATGAATTTTAATGAAACTTGCTGTGGACTTGTTCCTAAGTAAAACTTATGTTTTGATGAAGCAACCGCGTCCATCTGCCTTGGACTAGTATGGAAAATTCTTGAGTGTCTTGGTACAAGAATTGCCAGAACTTTTTATTTGGTCGCTGGAATCAATTCATTTTATTTTTATTGTGCATCAGTCCTTTTTCGAGATTTTCGTGCTCTTGGTAAAATCTTGTAACATTCATAGTTTTTACGCAAAAAAATATTTTCAATTTTAGACTATTACTCAAGTACAACAAATACTCACTACAATCACTACTATCGTAGTAAGTACCTTGGTAAAATCTTGTTGCATTCATAGTTTTTACGCAAAAAAGTATTTTCTGTTTCGTTGCGCTTTTACAAGAAGCAGCTTTCTCTAATAATTGCCAATTCTTTTACCTAAGATATCAATATTGAAAGTTAAATGGTCGCAATTTTAAAGTATGTCGCAATGCGACGGATTGAATATCATTTTACTTCATTAAATTTATTTTATGTTAACACTCAAAGACGTAAAGACGTACTTAGAAAAAACATAATTCTCATTATTGAAACTGGATGATAGTTACATATATACGATATATGATGATGGAATTACAAGATAAGTTCGATATGCCCCCCATTTTCTTGGATGTATAGCTGCATCCTTCGATTGAAATTGAATTGAGCCCTCCTCAACATTGTTGGATCATTCCGTATTACGTCCGCCTCCGTTTTGAATCCTATACAATAATTCTTCCTGGGATTCCACATAAACTTTATTCTTTAAGTCTCCGCATAGAAAAAAATCTAACAGTGTTAAGTCGGGGGACCTGGGGGGGGGGGCATTCGACAGGAACATTTCTCCCTTTTCTTCCGATCCACTTGTGTGGAAAAGTATTATTGAAATGTGCAATTACATTTGCACTAAAGTGCGGAGGAGCACCATCGTGCATAAATTACATCTGAGCACGAAGATCGAGAGGGACATCTTCCCTTAGAACCGAAAATGTATTCGTCAGAAAATGGAAATAATTTTCGCTATACAAATTGCGCGGCATGACATAAGGACCCAGAAGGATGTCACCGATGTCCCGGCCCAAAAACATTTATTGGAAATAGGGTTGTTGACCAAATTTCAAAAAGTAGATAATATAATTCTACACGTACTAATTAGTGTGTATGCACAATTAGAGATTGAGAAATGCGTCGGAACAGTTTTATAATAATTATTTAAAACTGATTTTTTTATGATATTTTAAAACGGCTGTGACGTCATAATGGGCACCTTGTAGTGAAATTATGTGTAGATGATTGCGTAAAGGAAAAAATTGGCGGAAGAAGATGCTCTGTCAACACTGTCAGTAGTGTCAGTCTGTCAGTGACATTGTCGCATAAAATATTTTCAAGTCTACGAGTTATCTTCCTTAATCTTCGAATTCCTTTATTAAGTAAAATTATTATTTAGTAATAATCATTTAATATCTTCCTTCCCTTAGAATTAGAGCAGAATGTGTGAAACGGGATTTGTCAAAGCTACTTCGCAAATTTTCCGAAAATTGATATTTTTATGGTCATGAATTTTTAAAAAGAGACGACCGTTTTAATATTGGCGAAATCAGAGGTATAAAAGCAGTCAGGTAAGGATTAACATATTTATCCACGACTATTGTATAATGTACCCATTATACGTCTGTTTGCTCGACCTTAATAATACCCATTAATCACGGCAGTGATTAATGAGTATTATATAATCACTACTGTCAGATGCTTCCTTAATTTAGCTATAATATTATATTGTTCTGCTACAAACAATCCGTTTTTAAAATTTTATCGTGTAAACTACTAAATATTTTCAATTCAGTGCTGTACATATAAAAAAAAATTCAAAAAGTGAATTTTCCTAGACCGGATTCGAACCCGGGACCCGCGGTTGGAAAGTGGTTAATACTCCTGGCACGAGAGATTTCTTCTGCGTAATGGTAATAAAATGTGGCTGGTGAAATTTGGATCACGTGGCCGCGCTCCTTAAATAAAGGGGCAAAAGTCTTCTCTCAAAATGGTGTGGTAAAAGCTCTTGAATAGACGTCGCATGATCAGGATGGAGGAGCTGCTGTCTTATGATGCGATTAATTGTACTTTTTGGTACGCCAAATTCCACAGTCAGACGGCAAGTACTGATATTTGGATCTTCAGCGACCCTATTTAAAACGACTCCCTCATCGGCTGCATTTCGTACTTGAGGACGACTCACACAGTAAACGGCTCGAACACCAAATTGCCCAGTCTCACGCAAACTCTTTTCAGTCCATATAGATCGGTTATCTGGAACCCGTCGATTTGGGTATAGCGCCGCGTAGACGCGTACACTCCCACCCAAGTTGTCTTCGCAAAACCCTAAGACTTTGATTAGTCGGTCATTTTTTCATTAGAAAACGCCATTCGAAACGGATTGATTGACAATTCATTTATTATAAAATGACATCATCGCTTACTACGATAGTAGTAATTGTAGTGAGTAGTTGTTGTACTTGAGTAGTAGTGATAATGATTGTCTAAAATTGAAAAAAATGTTTTGCGTAAAAACTATGAGTGCTAGATGATTTTACCAAGTGCACGAAAATCTCGAAAAAGGACTGATGCATCAATAAAAATAAAATGAATTGATTCCAGCTACCAAATAAAAAGTTCTGGTTATTCTTGTACCAAGACACTCAAGAATATACCACTTTCCCAAGGCGGATGGACGCGGTTGCTTCATCAAAACATGAGTTTTACTTAGGAACAGGACCACAGCAAGTTTCTTTAAAATCCATCGTAACATTCTCCAGATATAACAAAAAACATATATTTTTTCAAGAACTTTGACAGTCAATAGCAGAAGAACCAGACATTTTTTCGTAATGGAAGTTAGGTCAAATCGTCTTCTTTTGAGCCAAAGAATGTCGCAGTACCTTTTTGATCATGTGCTTATGGGACACCCTGTATAATGTAACAAACGAATATTGTCACATAAGTTGTTCGAGCGGTTTTAAAAAATAAATAAAATGGCTTTATCTACGGTTGGAAATAAAGAATTTTGGCGAGAATTTATACAGATGTATCGCGATTTACCCGAAGTATGAAAAGTGAACTTTACAAAAATCTAAATTTAAAAAGTGCAGGTTATGGTAAATTAGTAAACAAATTGAGGGAAATAGAGGAAAATGGCGACAGAGACATGCCTATTTTCAATAAACTAGCGTGTATATAATCACCAAGTTGCAACATTATGTTGTACAACAAAAGTTTGCGCCAATTGTTTGATCGTGTATGGGGTCTATTTTGTCTACCTTTGTTTGCATGTGTTGCACATCAGCACTTTCATATTATCACAATGTATTGCTAATGTAGATAGGCCGTTTTAGGGTGTTCATTGACACTTATTAATACACACCCCAGAGGCACACTGTCCTTCCATAAAAGAAAACACAGTTAAAGTATTCAAGAAGTATTCTTGACTGACTGTGGGTTTGCTTAGATATAGGTATTCTTAAGCTGATTGAAAAATGGCTATAGTAAAAAAATTATATCTCGTGAGCATGATTTTTTTTTCGTTAAAACCTACATTTCTGTATAACATATATTTGTGCCAACACTGAGAATAGACAAGCATGGAGAAATATGTTTAATTTATTAATCTTACTAAAAATAATGTCACAAAGCGGAATGATATTGATAATAATTATTATGAACTGACATAACTCAATTATTGGCTGACTCTTCAAACTTTTGTTAATATTACATAGTTTTATAGTTTTATAATCCAAGCTATAAATGCTACTAGTATTTATTGAAAATTTTCCTTTTTGTACTACCTACTGCCTACCGGTAAAAGTAAAACATTACACGTATAAACTTCCACTGCTTCATTCATCCTTTTGTACATTAAACTGGTTTTTCTAATTCATCAACGCAGCTTTTCCCATTACTGCTAATTTATGTCAAATAAATAGTTTAAAACTACGCTTCTGAAGGGGCGAAAGTATTTGTGGTAATTAACAAGCACTTAATATTCCAGGAGGGAAATGAAACAGTTGATGACGGCATTCTATTTAAAGATAGTGATGTCCCTGATAACGATGCTGTCTTCAAAAATTGGTTTCTATTGCCTGGTTGTGACCTACATTTGGTTGAATGAGAGTACCAGCGCCGACGTTATGTTCTACATCATGAAATGTTTCGTGACGTTAAAACATGTCATTGGTCACACAGTCTCAGATGGCATGTCGAGAATGGCAGAACTTTCAGCCTCTCTGGACAGAATAAACAGGGTGCTGAGAGCCGAAGAACTGAAAGAAGCCACTGAAACAAATGTTGAGGATCCTACAGTATTCTTGAAAAACGCCAGAGTTTGTATTAAAGACAAAACTGTACTTGAAAATATTACTGTAAGTCTTCAGAAGGGTCTTACAGTGATAACTGGTCCATTAGGGTGCGGTAAAAGTTCTCTTGTTAAAACTATTCTGCAAGATTACCCTTTAAGTGGAGGAATTGTTGAAACCAGTGGAAGAAAAAGCTATGCTTCCCAAGACCCTTGGCTTTTTCCATCTTCCATCAAGCAAAATATATTGTTTGGAGAAGAGTACAATGAGAAAAGGTACCAAGAAGTAAGTAGTTATTAGGACGTAATTGGTAATTTATTGTTTTATTAGAAAATTGAATTGGCGGAATGTGTTTATAAACAACTGACATCTTGTTCTTGGATTAGTTGATAAGTATGTAGCTCTAACTAGATCTTTCTTCAGTTTTTTTTTAATTTAGATTCCTCGTTTTTTACTATTTATCTTTAGTCCAGTGAAACGTGAAATTTTGACTGAATGTAGGGAATGCCTCAAGGAACAAAACTTATATAGTGCCGAAGTGTACTTTTGCCCCGGGGGTGGTTCCTACCCCTTCTCATGGGTGGAAATTTTTATGCCCAAGATAACTACAGGAATCGATATAGGAGTCAATTTTAAGTAACATATGTTATATAAAGTTTTTTGGATAATCCAATACTTTCCGAGTAATTCGTCATTGAAAATGTTGATTTTTTACTGAAAAAGTGCTTGTTTTCTGACAGTTTTTTGCAAATAACTCTGAGACCATTGGATTTAACGAAAAAGTTGTAATAAACAAACGAAAAAGTAATAAAAAACAAATCTAATGGCATTTTGTTTTTCTCTAACTGCAATATAAACTGAGTTATGGATTTTTAAACATTATTATATGTTAGCTAAAAACTAAATTGGAACCAGTTAACGTTAAATAACGCCAAAACCATAAATATTAGGAAAAAAACTATTTGAACCTTTTTTAAAGTACTTTGAAAAACCTTTAAAATGAGCTATTTTAAAAGTCTTTAGAATCAAAATTAACGGAAATATGATCAAAATAACATGATAGTCTCATTTTTTTTAAGAAAAAATTAATAAACAAAACAGTGCCTTTGGCAACAGAATTAAAATTAAATGCAATCCATTCACAGATTTATTCATTTATATTCTAAGAATATGTTTTGGGTCTTTGGCTCGCTTACAAAGCATGATTTCGAAAAAAAACTTAATTTTTGAAAATGTTAATTTTTCAAATTTTTGAAAAAAAATCGATTTTTACGCTGTAACTTAAAAATTAAAGGGTGTACGAAAAAAATACAAGAGTAAAAAAATGTTGCTTTATTTTTGCTGAAGATTTTGCTTTTATTTTGTATTTCTCTAAAATTAATATTAATCGCCTTTTTTGTTTAACATATAAATGAGAGAACCACCCTTTTCGAGCCCTCTAAACCCTTCAAACTTAAAAATTAAGGGCTTAAAAAAGATCAACTCAACAGTTCTCGTAGCCCTTACAATTCCCTGCAAAATGAGCCTTTGTGCGATTAAAAATCTTAAAAAGTAAGAAAGTTATCGTCAAATAATTTTAGAAAAATTTATATCAAACAAGAATTTTAAAGCATTTAGATCTTTTTGGTATATACAGGGTCGGAAAGTCCCCATAGTTCATCGGCCGTTACGTGAGAGCGATAAAGAAAGTCATAGAAATCCGTGCGATAGCGACAGATGGCTATAATGGTCTAATAGTTACCGCCCATTTCGCCCTTCCAAAAATAAGATCCACTTCTTATTTGTCATGCATGATTAAAACGTTTAAAGTTGAAAAATTTTTTTTATATTATTTTCATCCCAAGGGGATACATTAAGTTTCATGTTAGCACATGAAATTACTCATACTGCATAAATAAAGAAGATTTGACTAGATAAAATGCTTAAATTTGTATTTTTTCATTTTTTTCCAATAAGGGGTGGTTTTCACCCCTTAAGAACAAAAAGTACACCTAGTGCATATATAAGTTTTGAAGTGAGGGGTAAGATGAGCCTAATTCAAAATTTTGAGAAAAATCTATACAGTTATAAAAAAATCGGAGGTATTACTATGTTTCCAGCTACAGTAACTGGGCTACTTCTTTAGGTTGTTAGACGTTGTGCATTGGAATACGACTTCAAACTCCTTCCAAACGGTGATGAAACGATTGTAGCAGATAAAGGTTTGAACTTAAGTAAAGGCCAGCAAGCTCGTATAAACTTAGCTAGAGCAGTATACAAAGACGCTGACATATATCTCGTAGATGATTCCCTGACGGCTTTAGATCCCCAGGTTCAAGACTTCATCTTTCAAGAGTGCATAAAACGTTTCCTTAAAGGCAAACTCTGCATTTTGGTTACGCACAATGCAAAACATATTAACAGTGCAGACAGAGTTGTAATTTTGGAGAACGGAACTATCAAATTTCAAGGAAATGAGGATAATTTACCTAACGACATTTTGTCGAATATAGAAGACACTAATGTTAAAGATGGTACCAAGAAAGTTGTAGAAAATGAAATTATCGAAGATGAAAAGACTGTGTTACTGAAATCCGAACGTAATCTTAGGAAGAAAGGCGTTTATTTTGAAACAAAAAAGGAAGGCAGCGTCAGTGGTGATGTTTATTGGAAATACTTTAAATTTGGTGGTGGCATTTTACTTTTTGGCCTAATCATATTGTTATTCTCAGCATGTCAGTTCACAGAAAGCTATACTTCAAAATTGTTGTCACATTGGTAAGTACAAAATTCTTATTCTTTTGTTCAAATTGCATTTTTTAATTTGTTTATATCATTTACCAAAATATGGTCCATTCCCATTCAGATATTTTGTATAACTAGTTTATAGTCAAATGATTGACACTGAACATTCTTCTTCTTCTTCTTCTAGTGGTTGGTCCTAATAAGTCCCATAGCACTGCGGCCTAATTAGGCCTATTGTGCGTCCCACTACTAGTCATATTCAGCAAGTAGATTTGTCCTTTTTACAAAGTCCAAAAGCTTCCTTGCTGACACTTCTCTCAGTTCCTTGGGTTCCAAATAGGGTCCCCAAGGAGCGCCATTCTGCTACGTGCAAATCCCGGGCACCCGCCCTGGATATGCAGAGCAGTTTCATCCGCCGATTCACATCCTCGGCAGACCGGACTGTCTACCAGCTTTAGCTTATGTAGATGTTTCCTAAAGTGACAGTGTCCCGTTATGAGTTCTGTCACTCTCCTGAGCCGGATTCTGTTCAAGCTCAGTAAATCATTCGCTCTTTCCTTCGAAGGATACTCCATGAGCACCTTAGAATGGCTATGTCCTGGCCTTGATGATGTCCAGTATTTTCTATATTCTGTCTCAGTCCATTTGCCCAGAGCCCGCCTGACCACACTGGGAGATGTGCCACAGAAGGGCTCCGGGCCAATGAACTCTGTCTCGGATCCCTTTCTAGCAAGTTCATCCGCTTTCTAATTTCCACAAATGCCTTTGTGCCCTGGCACCCAACACAGTCTGACTGTATTGTTGGTGGCGAGTTCAGTCAGCATTTGTAAACAATCCCACACCAGTTTAGAACTTATCTTGTGCGCGCCTAAAGCTTTAATTGCAGGTTGACTATCAGAGAATATATATATGATATTTACGTTTATAACCTCTACGTACATTCTCTGCCAGACACGCCATTATCGCGAAATTTTCTGCTTGCAATACGGTAGGGAACTCCCCCAGACTGTAGCTTGCACTCCATCTGGGTCTGAGTCCATATATTCCTGCACCAGTCCCTCTGGTCATTTTGGAGCCATCTGTAAACCATACTAGGCTCAACCTTTCCAGGGTATTAAACCTTCCCTCCCATTTGCTTTGATCCTCTATTCGAGTCTCAAATGGCTTGTGGAAGGGAAACCTCGGAACCATCTTGTCAGATACCATCCCAAAAGTTGGTTCCGACATAGATGTGTCTATGATCGTGGATTGGGAACTACCCCTCCAGTCGTTGTTATTCCTGAGTCGATATGCTGCTAGCCGCGCTTCTCTTCCCACCACTACATGCAGCGGTGGTAGATTTAGCATGACTTCTAGTGCAGCTGTCAGGGTCGATGCCATCGCCCCCGTTATACCTAAACAGGCAAATCTCTGAATTCTATTCGGTGACACTGAACATTAAAAAAAATGTCAAACGTTTAAACAATACCGTTTTATTTTAAGAAATTTAAGACCTTCCTGAGGATGAAAACAGAAACTACTGGTATATCGAACTGAATTGCAATCTTAATACTGTTTTAGGGTTAATGTACAACAAAATATTACATCATACAAAGAGGCAAAAGGTCAAGACTCCCAAACTACTGGACTATTAGAAGAATACGCGACAAACTCCAACAGCACCCTAAGAATGTATTCAGTGATGATCTTTTCATTCATAACTCTGGAACTGATAAAAACCTATTTCGTACTGACATTTGCCAGAAGGGCTTCAGTTAAACTACACAAAACTATGGTGGATAGCATTTTATTTTCGGTTATGCAGTTTTTTGATAGTCACTTCATCGGAAACATTTTAAACAGATTTGCTCAGGATCTCAACGTTGTTGATGAAAGGTTACCACTTGTTCTAAATCGTCTCATTGAGGTAAATAATGTTCATAGTAAAACTACAACAATGTAGGTGCGTATAGCATCATTACTCTGTTTTCAAGTCAAAACCATAAAGAATTCTTCTGACAATTTGTCATTTGGTTCAGGGAAATGAACAGACAAAATGTATTTGACGTAATATTTATTGTAGGTTATGTTTGCTGTTGGCGGTATAGTCATTTTAATAGCAGTTGTGAACTGGAAGTTCTTCCTTCCTTCTTTAGCTTTAATAGTTACTTTAATGGCATGCCGAAATATCTACATGCCAGCAGCTAGGAGTTTGCGGAGACTGGAATCTGCTTGTAAGTACCTAATTTATTGTAGTCCCTTGCCATAATCTACAATAGTGTAATTGAACCATATTTCTGAATTTCTGAGGTTATTAATTTTTAGCGAGAAGCCCTATCGTAGGACACCTGAACGCGTCTGTAGATGGACTTACAACAATACGAGCCTCTAGAGCTGAACGCATTTTAACCAAAGAATTCGATAGGCATCAGGACCTGTACACATCAGCTCATTACACATCATTTTGCCTCAAACGGGCCTTCGCGTTTTGTATGGACGTTACTTCGACAATATTTGTATGCATCATAATCATTAAGTTCTTGTTTCTCGACTCAGGTAAGTTCTCATTCGATAACGTAGAGGACAAAAGTTAAAAGTTAAAAACCTTAAAAGCAAAGAGTATATCAAAAAATTTAAATAAGAGAAAAAGTTCATTCAGGGTATTAAAGTTTTCGTTAAAAAAAAACAACTGTTTTTATTATCTAGGTAACTCCTTCTGCTCGACTATTCATTAGTCTTATCTCTAGCTCTGGTGGTGATCTAGTTCAATGACCATATAGATCATTAGAACTGAATATATGAATCTCTTTTATGATTCAGTTTTTAAAATAGGCCATTCTCATTACTGTTTGTGGATTCTGGATCCTTCCAAAATAGCAATTGTATTGGAAATACGATTTTAAATAAAATGTATTAAAGAACATGCCAAAAAAATCATTGATGAAATTTCTACGTCAATGATTTGAAATATACAGGGTGGCCAAATGAAAACGAAACAGAGACATTTTCAGGAACTGCGTCAAGTTTGTAGAAAAACGCTCAGACCCGTCGATTTTAGATTAAAGGGGGACATTCTTTGCTAGTATTTTTGACTCCTCCACTTTCACCCCCAAGCCAGGGTAAGCATCACCCCCAAAAAATATAAAAATGGCATTGGGGGTTGAATAATATTTCTTTTGAAAGCTCTTACAATTCTCTTTACAATAGACTTTAAAATCCACCCAATACTTTGAAAAACATTTACATTTTAAAATTTAAATTATGTTTAGTTGCTTACTTACTTACTACTTAGTTGATTAAATGGTCAAACTGACGACCGCCCGCTTCCATACAAGAATAAAGATTTTGTTCGAAACGTTCGCGCACATTCCGAAGCATTTTCGGAGTGATTCGACGGCATTCGTAAACGATTTTTTAAAGCAAATCTTCCAGCGACGCTGGCTGTGTTTTATAGATTTTACTTTTTAGGTATCCCCACAAAAAGAAATCAAGGGGCGATAAATCCGGTGATCGAGGCCACTCAATGCTGTCTCTTCCAACCTAATTCCGTAGAAAACGTTGGTCCAAATACTGACGGACAATTATTGCATAATGCGGAGGAGCACCGTCCTGTTGAAAAATCAAATGATCTTCATCATACTCTGGAACATTTTCAATAATATCAGTCAAGGCAGGGTCAATAGCGTCTTCCAGTAATTGCATTTGGCCAGTCAAATTACCAGGAAGAAAAAAGGACCCACCAGCTGGTCACCGAATATTCCAGCTCATACATTTAATTTTTCCGGTTGCTGTGTATGCACCTTTTGAAAAACTCTTGGGTTTGAATTGGACCAATAGCGGCAATTGTGACGATTTATCGTCCCGTTCAAGAAATAACTGCATTCATCAGAAAAACAGATGTTAAAAAGGAACTGTGGCTCGTTCCCTGCTCGCTCACTCATTATTTCGCAAAATTGCAAACGGCGGTCATAATCATCCTCATGAAGTTCCTGGACTAAATGTATTTTGTTTGGATGGAATTTATTCTTCTTCAAAATGGTTTGTATGCTAGTTCGATTGATCTCAGACACAGATGCCAGCTGCCTCGTACTTAATGTAGGATCAAGATGAACTTGTTCCAAAACTGCAACTTCACTAGCTTCATTAACTATAGGTTTTTCAATTTCTCTATGTTTTTTTTACGAAAGTGATAATAAATCGCCAGAAACCAATGTAACGCAAGAAATACTAAATTTATTCCATTGGCGTACTTAACTCGAATGACTGACATTTTTACCGTTGCTAATAATTGTTTGTATATGTATAAGTTTCAAGTTTAAAATCAAAATAAGTATTGGGCGGAATTATAAAATTTAAAGTCTGTTGTAAAGAGAATTGTAAGAGCTTTTAAAAGAAATATTACTCAACCCCCAATGCCCTTTAAATATTTTGGAGTGATGCTTACCTTTGCTTGGGGGTGAAAGTGGCGGAGTGAAAGTGAAGGAAATAGGAAATACCAGCAAAGAATGTCCCCCTTTAATCTAAAATTGACGGGTCTGAGCATTTTTCTACAATTTTGACGTAGTTCCTGATAATGGCTCTGTTTCGATTTCATTTGGCCACCCTGTATATTTCAAATCATTGACGTAGAAATTTCATCAATGATTTTTTTGGCATGTTCTTTAATACATTTTATTTAAAATCGTATTTCCAATACAATTGCTATTTTGGAAGGATCCAGAATCCACAAACAGTAATGAGAATGGCCTATTTTAAAAACTGAATCATAAAAGAGATTCATATTCAGTTCTAATGATCTATATGGTCATTGAACTAGATCACCACCAGAGCTAGAGATGAGTCTAATGAATAGTCGAGCAGAGTTAGTTAATTAGTTATGTTTTATTGTTAGATTTTTAGATCGTTTGGATTAGTTACATCGTTTAGATAGTGTTAGATTGATTAGATTAAATAATCTAATAATAAATGATCTTAGAAAGTATGTTTTTTTACTCTATCAATTCTGTTTGCAGCAAAATTGTTAAATAAACGAAATTTGAAATTGTACTTGCACTGTTTCCTTTAAAGGACTTATTTTGAGCCGTAGTATATCTGGTGGAGCGTTGTACAGACCCTTTAAAGACACCCTGTATATTCACATACACTTTTTTTCTTATTTTTTTTAGAATACTCTTCATTTAAAGCTTTTCTGCTCACAATAATATTACTTGTTTCTAAAATATCTAGGCACTGCTGCTGGAGATGTTGGGTTAGCCATAACGCAAGCTGCGTCTCTATCCATGATAATTCAAGGAGGTCTAATGCAATGGTCCGAGCTAGAAAACCTTATGACGTCAGTAGAGAGGGTTTTAGAGTACACTAAATTGGACATAGAGAATCCTACAGGCCAAGAGGTTGAAAAGTGGCCCAGTTTAGGTGCAATAAAGTACATAAATGTATCCCTAACATACTCAAACACTAACGAAAAAGTACTGAAAAGTATTAACTTCCACGTGAAACCTAGACAGAAGATAGGAATAGTTGGCAGAACCGGCGCTGGCAAAACTTCTATCATATCCACCTTGTTCAGACTGTACAACTACGAAGGTCAGATACTCATAGATGATGTTGAATTAAAGACTATCCCTTTGACGTTTCTAAGACAACACATTTCTATAATTCCACAAGATCCCATAATGTTTGCCGGTACAATTCGGACCAACATAGATCCTTTGCAACTTTATACCGATAAGAAAATTTGGAAGACCATTCACAAAGCCCGACTGCAAAACGTGATACATAGCTTGGACCTGAGGATAACCTCCAACAATTCCAATTTCAGTACTGGTCAGAGACAGCTGATCTGTCTGGCCAGAGCGATTATCAGAAGTAACAAAATCGTCGTTTTAGATGAAGCCACAGCTAATATGGATCCGGAAACTGAGCTTTTAATTCAGAAGGTCATCGCAGAAAATTTCGTGAATTGTACAGTTCTCATCATTGCTCACCGGTTGAATTCTGTTTTGAGTTGTGACAAGGTCATGGTAATGGAAAAAGGCGTGATAAAAGAGTTTGATAATCCTATTACTCTACTACACGATAAAACGAGTATGTTTTCGAAGATGCTGCAAAATACCACTGATTAGCTCTTAATAAAAGAATAGATAGTCAATACGCTTCATATTACAATGTCTTGAAATTACTATTAAGAAGTAAAATGTTTTCATGAGGTTTTTAGTAAAATATAGTAAACTGAACTTGAAAAGTTTTTGAAATTTTATTCTACATACATACTCCCTCTTATGATCTAAAAAATTCAACCCAGAAAAAGAATAGAAGTGATATCTCAGTTGAGTATTACAGTAATATGCACAAATAATTTACTGTATACAGGGTGTTAATGAACTTATATAAACAATTCTAAGTGGTGAAAAAGAAGCAAAAACTGAGTTAAGTGATGTTAAGTATAACTTGTATCGGAAGTTTAAGGTCATAGAGAAAAAATCTAATTAAAAATGTGTTTAAAACTGTTTTGAAACTGCTGAAATGCATGTATTTTATCGGGGCAAGTAATTACAAAAAATTCTGTAACATTTTATATAGCCCACTTACTGTAACTTAAAATATAATACCTCCGAATTTTTTATAACTGCATCGATTTTTCTCAAAATTTAGAATTAGGCTCATCTTACCCCCCACTTCAAAACCTATATATGCTCTAGGTGTGCTTTTTGTTCTTAAAGGGTGAAATCCACCCCTTATTAGAAAAAAGAAAAAATACAAATTTAAGCATTTTATGTACTTAGGTAATCAAATCTTTTTTATTTCTGCAGTATGAGTAATTTCATGTGCTATTTAACATAATGTATCCCAATTTTTCAACCCGGAAAAACCACCCCTTTGGATGAAAATAATATAAAAAAATTTTTTCAACTTGAAACGTTTTAATCATGCATTTTTATCAAATTAAAATTGATTTCTTGATTAAAAAATCTTTTTTATCGATTGCAACTTTTCAACCCTTGAAAAATACCCCTTCTTTCGAAAATAAAATGAAAAAAATATTATAGAGAGAGTAGAAACATTTTAAATGTGCATTCGTATTAAATAGATCTAAATGCTTCGAAATTCTTGTTTGACCTAAATTTTCCTAAAATTATCATTATACACGTGTTTATTTTTTGACGATAACTTTCTTACATTTTAAGATTTTTAATCGCACAAAGGCTCATTTTGCAGGGAATTGTAAGGGCTACGCGAACTGTTGAGTTGATTTTTTTAAGTTTGAAGGGTTCAAAGGGCTCGAAAAGGGTGGTTCTCACATTCATATGATAACTTAAAATGGCGATATCTCGATTAATATTAATTTTAGAGGATTACAAAAAAAGGAAAATCTTCAGCAAAAATAAAGCTAAATTTTTTTACTTTTGTATTTTTTTCGTACACCTTTTAATTTTTAAGTTACAGCGTAAAAATCGAATTTTTTTCGGAAATTTGAAAAATTAATACTTTCAAAAATTAAGTTTTTTTTCGAAATCATGCTTTGTAAGTGAGCCAAAGACCCAGTACATATTCTTAGAACATAAATGAAGAAATCTGTAAATGGATTGCATTTAATTTTAATTCTGTCGCCAAAGGCACTGATTTGTATATTAATTTTTTCTTAAAAAAATGAGACTCGTGTTATTTCGATCATATTTCCGTTAATTTTGATCCTAAAGACTTTTAAATCAGCTCATTTTCAAGCTCAAGGTTTTTAAAGTACTTTAAAAAAGGTGCAAATAGTTTTTTTCCCTAATATTTATAGTTTTGACGTTATTTAACGTTAACTGGTTCCAATTTAGTTTTTAGCTAACATATAATAATGTTTAAAAATCCATAACTCGGTTTATATTGCAATTAGAGAAAAATAAAATAATGCCATTAGATTTGTTTTTTTTATTACCTTTCTTTTTGTTCATTACAACTTTTTCGTTAAATCCAATGGTTTCAGAGTTATTTGCAAAAATCTGTCCGAAAACAAACACTTTTTCAGTAAAATCTCGGAAAGTATTGGATTATCCAAAAAACTTTATATAACATTTGTTACTTAAAATTGACTCCTCTATCGAATCCTTGGGTTATTTTGGACGTAAAAATTTCCACCCCCAAGAAGGGGTAGGAACCACCCCCAGGGCAAAAGCACACTTCAGCACTATATAAGTTTTGTTCCTTGAGGCATTCCCCATATTCAGTCAAAATTTCACGTCAATCGGTTCAGTTATAAAGAATTCGGAGGTAAAAACCCTGAGTAACTGGATTAATACGAATTTGTAGGAGGTTTCTTATGAAGCCGGACTGTATTCGAAAGTCAGTTTCTAATACATTGTTGTAGTGATTGCTGTGCTGTTTTTCGAGAGTACATTTAATAGCTATATTTACAAGTTTTCTTTTGAAAATGGCGCATTTAATTAGCGATCGCGAATATTATAATATGCTCATAATTTATGGCGAAATAAACGAAATTGCCCACAGAGCTTGTCAAGTGTACCTTGCAAAATATCCTGACTACTATGAACACCGGTGAAGTACAACAGCGTCGAGGTCGCGACGGTGGCCCAGGGCGACCACTAAGAATCTTAAATGTCGAGGAGATAATTTTAGATCTCGTCGAAGAAGATCCGCATTGTAACACCAAAAATATCGCACAGCAAATCCACAACACTCACCACTGGACTATCGAAAATCCACACGAAATACGTTGCAGTGTCTCTCAGCAACAGTTTTCAGTGAACATGTGGGCTGGTATTGTTAATGACACTTTGATAAGACCTTTTGAATTGCCTAGACGCTTAGACGGTGCTTTCATATCTAGATTTTTTGCATAATCGCTTGCCGGAATTATTGGAAGACGTGCCATTAAATTATTTGACAAAATATGTGGTTACTGTACGACGGAACCTCCGCTCACTTTTTTCGGAGAGTGTGCGACTTTCTAAACAATACTTTTCCGATCGTTGGATAGGGCGCGGCAGCCTTGGTACATGACTTGGTTATACGTTGCATTGGTTGTGATTTTCTTCATTGCTACATTGTTCTTTGATGGGGGAGAGGGTACTGACGGACAAGCGACAAATTCTTACCACTGGAGCTGGAGATCAATTATTCCAAAAGGGTTCCCAACACCCGTGAGTTTTGCAATATGCCTGTTCCAATTAAATACACATTCATCAAATGTGGTGGAGAAACCAAACCACCTAACAAAAATGTATTCCATATGCTACTAAAGACTTTTTCGTAGATATGGATAAACCAGAATATGTTCCCAGCAGCTATTTTTAAAATAGCGATTCTAAATAAATTGGTTAATACTTTCCTAATAAATAACATAACGAACTTTTTTTCATTATAGTCTATTTCAATATATTAATGTCGTTTATTATTATTTCTAAATCTCTCCCATAATTTCAGAAGGCCACTAATTGATGAGATATAGTGTTGTAAGTATTGTCTCTAGGTTTCATCGATCTACGTCAAATAATTTCAATGACATTTTTTTAAACTTACACCTTATTCTCTAAAAATAGTGGATTTAGATTCCTGATTTATTTAGGTTTTTTAATCTAGTGATCTAAGAATTTAGAAAATATCTCGTACATTGCCTTGCGTACTGTCGCCTATAAACAAAATTCATATTTTATAGAAGCATTTGTAGCATTCTGAACTTCTGATATACAGGGTGTAAAAAAAGAGTGTAAAATATTTCAGGAGGTAATACTATGAACCAAAATAAGCAGAAAAGTCTTAATAAACATGGGTCCGCAAAGTAACGGTTGCGGAGATATAGACAACTATTCGTTTTTCAAACATTTTATTTTATTAGGAATAAACCAACAAAGGAAGCTAACAAACAAAAAACAAAGTTACAGAAGATGTTCAAAGTGCCCTCCGTCTATTTCCAAGCAGGCACGACATCTTCGTCTCAACGATATTCGAACTCTTTCGAAAACACCCTCCTTGGTTTGGATTTCTTGACACTTTTGATTAATCCGTAGCTGCAGCTCTTCCAGGCTATTTACAGGAGTACCATACACTAATGTCTTCAAATATCCCCAAACAAAGAAATCTAGAGGGTTCAGATCAGGCGATCTTGGAGGCCATAAAACAGGTCCGGCCCTTTCTACCCATCTATGTGGAAAAGTTTGGTGTAAATGCTCTCTAACAGCCATGGAAAAATGAGCTGGAGCACCATCACGCTGGAACCACATTTATTGCCTCTGATTCAAAGGAATGTCTTCCAAAAACTCATACAGTGTGTTCTGCAGAAACTTGAGGTAAGCAGCGCCTGTTAATCGGTTTGGTAAAACAACAGGACCTAGAAACCTATCACCTACAATACCCATCCAAATGTTTAATGAAAAACGTGCCTGATGTCCAGATTCTACTAGATCATGAGGATTTTCGTCGGCCCAAATATGCGTATTGTGAAAATTAAACACTCCATTTCTTGTGAACCCGGCCTTATCAGTAAAAAGAATGTTTGCAAGAAAACGAGGGTCTTCAGCATCATGACGTAGAAACCAGCGGTAAAAAAACAAACGTGCTTGATGATCATTTATTGGATTTAAGGCCTGTACTCGTTGCACATGGTATGAATAAAGTAGTTGCTCGTGAAGGATTCTCCAAACAAGAGGACCACTAATTCCTACCTCGGCTGATATTCTCCGCACACTCGTACCTGGATTCTGCTCTACCAGTGCTAGAATTTCTTCTTCTGCTCTAGGAGTGGATACCGACCTTGGTCTTCCGGATAAATGGCACTGTTTGCTCAAGGAACCGGTATCACGCAATCTTTGGTGAATTCTTCCAAACATGCGTTGTGAAGGAATCTGGCGTTTGGATAAGCGTCAACATAAAGACGTCGCGCTTCGGTGGTGTTCCCATTAGCACGACCATACATGAAATGCATGTCTGTTAATTCTGCGTTAGAGTAACCAGCCATAGCGAAAGAAAACTTGTGCACTGAGAACAACTATCAAATACGTACTGTTTATTTCACTAAACATCAACCAACTATTATAAGAAAATACACAACGTTTTTGCAAAATAAAAAAAGGGGCTAAAAACATAAAACATTCCATATCTCCGCAACCGTTACTTTGCGGACCCATCTTTATTGAAACTTTTCTGCTTATTTTGGTTCATACTATTACCTCCTTAAATATTTTACACTCTTTTTTTAACACCCTGTATAATATAAA